GCCATGTTTCTGAAAGGTAGTGAGGATTAGTGTTGGAGGAGCACATAGGTGGGAGGGGACACACAGCTGGTGGCCATGGAAAGAGCGATGGTTATCAGAAACTTTTTCTATCTTAAGGATACTACATATCCTTTATTAGATGTATTGCTAACGTTTTACTATGCTCTTTGTATTTTTAGCAGTTATATTTTATTTTACTTTTTAAAGTATTTTTTTTACTTGAGAAGCATATAGACACACACACACACACACACACACACACAAACGAGTTCCTATCCACTGGTTCACTCCCCAAATATCAGCAATGGTATGAGCTAGACCAGTCCAAAACAAGTATCCATCTCTCCTAGGGGAGTGGCAGAAACCCAACCACCTGAGCCATCACCACAGCCTTCAGGCTTTGCATTAGCAGGAAGCTGGAGTCAGGAGCCAGAGCCTGGCATTGAACCAGGCACTCCAACATGGGTTGCCGGCATCCCAAATGGAGTCTTAACCACTAGACCAAATGCCCACCCACCCCACAACTTCACTTCTACACTGGACACCCATGTGGGCTTGATCAGCATTCTTTACTCCGATAACAAACTCACGTCTTCCATTTTTGGAACCCACTCTTCCTGACTCACCTGCACCAGTGGTGTTGCCCTGGTCAATGACAGTGTTTCATTTCTGACAATCTATTCTGTGATTCTTCCCTAGGACTATAGGGAGGAGGCACTGCTTAGGTGGCATGGCTAGCAGGCAGAGTGCAAGCCCATTGTTACCACTTGAGGAATAAGGTCAAAGAGAACAGTGGTAAGTGAAGCAGCAGCCTCCTATTAACATCTGGAGTCACCTGGATTTCAGCCATACATGAAGTCCTATTACCTGGTTTCACGATTCAACAAAGAACTCTCCTCCCTTTTCAAATCTAGATGAAACTGAGTTTAAAATCTAGTTAAGAATGTGTTTTCTGTGTCTTTCAACTCAGAGAGTTCTGACTAATAAAGACTCTTTGGAAAAACTATCCCATGGGGAGACCGTGGTGCAGGTCAGTAGAGGAAAAGTCCCCAGCCTGCCAACACTCACATGCTGCTTTGCCTGGCCCAGCCCCGGGTCAAGGAACTGAGCCTGTTCCTCAAGCCAGCTGGAATCCTTGCCCTAAGAGTTGGCTATTGCAGGACTCATGGGTCTTGCATCTGGGTTCAGCTAACCCTTAACGTGTGTATCACAATTTGGCACTTCAGTACACAGCCTTGCCTTGAAGGCTCTTCTTTCTATGGGGTTCATTTAATCTCAGAGACTGAAAGTGGTCTAATAAGCAGCCCCAAGTTCTGGATGCTTTGGCGCTGTGCACACTTTTGGACCCCCAGGCAGTGCACTGCATAGGCCTCCAGCACTCTGCATCATCCACTCCCGCTTCCCAGCGTGAGTTTGCAGGCACTTACTTCCAAAGACAAGGGTAATGAAACTTCAATTAAGACGCCCAACTGATTGATTTTAATTGCCCATTTGGTCTACCTGCTTATTTTTGCAGAGCAGTGTTCTTTTTCATGCAAAGGTCTGCATTCTAGGGCCTTGAGATTAGTCCCTTAACCCATGATTTTCTAGTATCACAAATTGCAGATGAGGGCCTGGGTTACATAAATTAAAAAAAAAAATCACAACCAGATGATCAATTTTTCACTGCAGGGTCATAGTAGCCATTCTGAATTTAGATGTCAAATCAAGGTGTGACTCCCCTATGAACAGACTCCCCAGAGGTATTTTTGCTCAGTCACAGGATACCAGTGTTCTCAAAAGTTCATGGAAAATGGAATGAAAAATTTTTATTTTGGTGGAAAAATTTTTGAAATCCATGCACTTATATCACAGCATATGTTTTTCATGAACTTAAAAAAATTTTTTTATTTATTTGAAAGGCAGAATTATAGAGAGAAAAGGAGACAGAGACAAAGAAATCTTCCATCTAATGGTTCACTCCCAAATGACCACAACTGCCAGGGCTGAGCCATGCCAAAGCCAGGAGCCAAGAACACCATCAGGATCTTCCATATGGATGGCAAGGGCCCAAGCACTTGGGCTGTCTTTTGCTGCTTTCCCAGATACATTAGAAGGAAGCTGGATTGAAAGTGGAGCAGCCAAGACTCAAACTGATGCTCATATGGGATGCCAGCATTACAGGTGGCAGCTTAACCCACTATACCATAATGGCAGCTCTGTGAACTTTTTGCTCCAACCATATACATAGATTTCAACATTTATACACCAAAATAAACCTATCTTTTAATATCATTTTAACATGAACTTTTTGAAATACTTACATAGATCCAAACTGACCGTGTAGGATGTCAACCCAGGAAATAACTCATTTGTACACTAATAGTACAGCCTTTGTTTAATCATTTCTTAATAGAAAATAAATGAGGGACAGGTAATGCACTGATGGTGAATATAAAACTAGGAATTTTAAGGACATAATTATTGCTATTTGGGAAAAATTCATTCATTCATTCACCAAAATCTTTTTTAACAAATATGTCAGATTTTTATTCCAATTTGATTTGCATTCCAAAGGAAATAATAAAACATTTTCACTCTTTCATTTTTAAAATGTGACTTATATTGTAATGCAAATCATAAAACACGATAAATTTGCAAATCAAAATTGGGCTAGTTGCTTGGAATAACAAATGTTTCAATCACATTTTCTGTTTCTACACTAAGGATAATTTTTTGATTAGTCATCCTGGATGTGTTAATAAGGTAGCACTAGGACTTGAGTTGATGGAGAACTCAAAGATCTTCCAGCCAAACCAGAAACTTTTCTATGCCTTCCCACAGCTGTCAAACACAGCTACATCACCAAAAGTAACCACTTGGCAATCCTTAATTTTTCTTACAAAAGTTATTTCTTTGCCATCCATTTTCACCCATGAACGGGTTTGTTTCCATCAGACTAAAACAGACTTACAGCTTCTGTCATCTGCACTAGTTTCATCAATTCTTCTCCCAGATGGAAACTCATCTCTGTGTTCTTGAGTGTGCCGTGAGCCCTACTCATCACTCTCTCTTTCATGACTGATAATCATTGTTGTTTTGGTCACATTCCCCACCTGCCAAGCAGCAGGTGCCCATTGGCTGGCCTAGCTGGAAATAGAGCTCAGTCCGTTTCATTGGGCCCTGTTTTGGTGCTGACTTGGCCTTGTTTTGGTGCTGACTTGGCAAAATATCAAGTTATTTTGATAGACTCCATGTAGAAGGGGGCCCCAGGACAGACCTGTTCGGTCTTTCTAGACTGTTAAAGAAGTAGCCAGTCCTATGAAAATCCACCATCTCTCTTGTCATTCTTTCTAAGTATTTCACCTCTTGCTCATTGCAGCACGAGGAAAGCCAATGTATTAAAATGATAAAAGAAACTGCTACTTACTAAGAACTTACAACAAGCCAGGTACTGTGCTAGATGCATTACGTGGAACCACAGCAACAAACCTTGGCTGTGGATGTAATCCCAGTGTATCAATGACAAAATGTGTGCAGCTGAATCAGCTCAACTGATTCAACCCACACAGCAACCAGAATTCAAGCCTGACTCCAGCAAGATGTCCGCTGACTTCCTTTACTACTCAGAGCACTTAATAGCAATGCTTGCCCAGCTCTTGGTGGGCAGGCAGCAGCTTCACCAGGGCTGGAGGGCCTTTCTGCTCAGCAGGAGGCGCTGTGCGTGTCTAGCAGGGCATGTCCTGGAAGGCCTTTCTGGAAACCCCCAGCCTGGAATTCTGATGTGCATCTGGCCTGGATCTGCTGTAAGGCAGAGTAGAACAAGCAGCCCTGCACAGCAAGAAGTCTGGAGTACTGGGACTTCCCACCAGGACCAGCAACTCAAAGACATTGTTTAGGGCCTATCTTCCTCTAACATCACCCTCTATAATCTTTGTCAAAGAAATCTATTTGCCAAGGGGTACTGAGTGAAAGTGACATTTTGAGCTTTGATGATTGTTTACGGCCCTGAGCAGTGGTTTTGTATGTTTGCTTATTTTAGTTCTTACTATTTGTTGAACCCTTTACTTGGTTAATCTTTTGAGTATAAAGTAAACTGAAAGTAGATCATGGCCCGTGCCATTGCTCAGTAGGCTAATCCTCCGCCTTGCGGCGCCGGCACACCGGGTTCTTGTCCTGGTTGCCCCTCTTCCAGGCCAGTTCTCTGCTGTGGCCAGGGAGTGCAGTGGAGGATGGCCCAAGTGCTTGGGCCCTGCACCCCATGGGAGACCAGGAGAAGCACTTGGCTCCTGCCTTCGGATAGGCGCGGTGTGCCAGTCGCAGCGCGCCGGCCGCGGCACCATTGAAGGGTGAACCAACGGCAAAGGAAGACCTTTCTCTCTGTCTCTCTCTCTCACTGTCCACTCTGCCTGTCAAAAAACAAACAAACAAACAAAAAAAGAAAGTAGATCATTGCAAAAATTAAGAGGAGGATTAGGAGAGGAAGGAGGAAGAAAGTGAGCCTGTGGGCAGGAGGGAGGGTGGGGTGTAAAGTATCACTAAGTTCCTAAATCTGTATACATTAAATGCATGAAATTTGTACACCTTAAATAAAAATTTTAAAAAAGAAAGAAAATTGAGTGAAAATATTTGCAGCAAAGAACAGCAACATGAAAAGAATTTGGAAAAAAAATCTATATCCTCCTGTGTCTTCACTCACAGTCAAAAGGTAGCTGCAGTGGTTCTAAGCACCACTTTCTCATCCATAAACTCCAAAGACTTTGAAGGAGACAGGAGGAACATCCTTTCTGAAAGGTGAAAACTTTTCCAAATTCTCCTACCCCCATCCTTGTACTCATGTTTCATTGGCAAGACTGGCATCATTTGCCCAATTCTAAATCAACTATTGGCAAGGGAAATTGAAATGCTACATTTGGCTTAGACCAACAGTCCTAGCTGCACAATCTAATCACCTAGGAATCTTTAATAACAACTCAGACTAATTAAATCAGAATTCCTGGGGGTGAGGCCCAACTATCAGGTTGTTTGTTTTTTTTTTTTTTTTTTTTTTTTTTTAGAACACCTCAGGTGTTTCTAAATGCAGCCAGAGTGGAAAACCACTGTTTGGACCAATCAAGATTCACCACCTGGTGCTGGGCCAGATGCCCAAAGAAATTGCAGGTTTTTCCAATAGGTAGGAAAGAAGGCAGAGGGAGATGGCTATTGGGTAAATAATCAGTTGAGGCTGTCATACCCAGATCCTTGGCAAGACTCTGAAGGTAAGAAACATAGGGCAGGGAAATGTTCAGGGAAAAGAAAGGGCATTGGAGAGAAAGCAGATGGAGGAAAATCTCATAGACTAAGACCAGGGAATGTGCATTTGGAAGGGTCCCACAGTGTGTGGAGCCTAGGCATGTAACTAAACCCCTTTAGTACTGGCTCATCACAAGGTATCCTACATACCACCCACTTCTCCCAAGTCCCATCCACATCATAATACTATGGCTTTTCTTCTGCATTCATGGTACCCAAAGAATATCACAGAAGAGGGGACTACAGTGTAAGCCATAGGACAGCAGCTCTAGGAGAATACTCCTCATGAAACAACACAAATACACCCGGTTTTGAGGCTATTCTGTGGTCTAACCCTGCTTCTGGTCTCCTATAAAACTCACCAACCATATGTTCCCATAAAGAATGTCAATGGGACAGATGCCTTTGCAGATTCACAGGGAGTGTCAGCCCACGGAAGATTGCAACTTGGGAGATGTTTCTCCATGGGGGTCCTTCCACGCCTCTTTTCCCAGTTCCTCTCATCAACAAATGTCAGTGGTCCCAACCTTGGCTGAATAATGAAACACTTGGGAGCTTCTAAAAAAAATCTTAATGCCCTGGCTGACTCCTATATAATTAAATCAGAATCTCTAGGGTTCAGTCCAGACATCAATATTTGTTAAAACTGCTCAGGATGTTGATATGTAGGCAAAGTTGAGAACCCCTGTGCTATGTTCAAGACCCTAGTATACCCATGAGTAACTATATTTAAAAACCATATATTGAGAATCCTCATGAATGAATTGTAGACTTGTGGAGAGAAGGCCCTTGGAGTTGTTGGACTTGTAAGACTTGATGGAGAGGGACACCATCTGAATCTGTTTTGGACAACACAGCACATCCATTTTCAAGATGGTGCTGGAACCTACCAACCTGGCACAAGCCACATAGAGCACATGAGGTAGAGGTGGGATGAGGATAAGAAGAGGAGGCCCTCTCCTCTCTGCCTGCCCAGGACAGGCCACTAACTCAAGGTGGACATCTATTAATAGGGAAATACAGAGGGAAAATGATCTGGGCACAGAATGAGAGGAGCAGGAGTGAAATAACATTAGTGATTATCCAGAAATTTATAGTACTTATGTTTATTAGACAAAGTCTCTTTATTATTTGCATGTTTCCAGGGAAGGAGGCCACTATCAGGGCACTCAGGGAGCTCAGAGATGCTCAGTTGGTGGCACAGGCAGCAGGGTCCTCAGGACCAAAGGGTTTAATCCGCAACCAGTGCCATACCTCTCTCCATGCACAACAGCTGTTTCCAGGGATCTCCAATCTAAGTCACTTCAGCCAGCCAGGAGCATTATTAAGTTCCTAACAGGCAGGGTTTCTCACCCGCTAGTGACAATGGGTTTCTTTTTCAGGGTGAAATGGGGTTCCTGGGAGAGGCAGAGAGAGGATGAACTGTAACCAGATTCCTATACCTTCTGTGTGTGAGAATCCCTGGGGAGCAGCCATGGATTGAGCAAGATTTGGCATCTCAGACTCATGCAAATGTTGAAACCCTAAATTCTTATGTTAATAGCTAATGAATTCACGCTAATGTTCGTGGGGTCATGGTAGAGGCTGGATCCACCTATGGTGTCTAAAGGTGGGGCCTCTGGGTAACAACTGCATTGGACTAGGCTGCTAGAGGGGAGCGCATGATTGAATCTTATAGGCTTTCTAAGGAGAAAGTCGATAAGGAGTGTGCTCCCTGTGCCTCCTGCTGCCTGGCTCACCAGTTGATCCTCTATCCATACCAGCTCAGCCTTTGTCAACCTCCATCAGATTCCAGACTAACAGGGCTGTCCGTTCTGACTGTGAACCTCTAAACTGTAAGCAGAAATAAACCCTTTCCCCTCCCAAGTTGCCCCTTCCAGGTATTTTAGTTAAAGTAACAAAAAACCGACTAATACAGGAACTTTGACAAATCCTGTTGGGGATGTCAGGCCACATCCCTACCAACCACAGCAGTATCCCTGGGGTTGGGACCTGGGTACCAGGTACTTTCTAAAGCTCCTCAGGTGATTCCAGTATGAAGCCATGTTTAAGAACCAGTAAACTAGAGGGACAATGTCCAATCCAGATTATTCATTAGGACAATCTGTGCTTCTAAAAACATAAGGGCACTTCAAAAAGTTCATGGAAAGATGGAATTAAAAAATATCCTTATGTTTTTGCAGAGGAAAAATCCATGTATATAAAGAGTCTCAAGAAAGTTCATGAAAATGCTTATTATAAAAAAACTATGAGTTTCAAAATTTTTTGCACCAAAATAAACATCTTTTAATTCAATTTTTCTGCAAAATTTTTGAGGTAACCATGTGCCCACTCACAGACAGCCTCATCCAATTGGCTTACGGTAAGGCCTGGGCCATAGAAGTTTTCAAAGTCCTCCAGGTAGAACTCTAATACACAACCAGGATTGACAGCGTTGAGCTGGAGGTTGTAACCAATCACAATGAGACGGCTGTCACCCTCACAGTAGACTGAGGGTTCTCAAGCCTTCACAAGGATCAGACTCTCAGAGAATTTGTGAAGAATAGGATGGTCTATGGCTGCCCTACCTTGAAAAACCTGGGCTCCCACCTGTTTTATCAGCTCTCCCAGTGAGTCTCCTATCCCTGTTCACAAGGTAGAGGGAGGCACAGATGGCTGGATCTCATTTTGCAAGTCACATACACTGGAGTGGATTCACATGCTCTCAATCTTTGTAAACTGGGTGCTAATTTTAAATACTCAAAGGAAGTATGCATTTGAAAGAGCCCTGTGGGAGAAAGGCCTTTGATAAAAGTAAGAATCCAGTGGTAAGGGCCCAGCTCCATGGTGCAGTAGGTTAATCCTTCGCTTGCGGCGTGTGCCGGTTCTAGTCCCGGCTGCCCCTCTTCCAACCCAGATCTCTGCTATGGCCTGGGAAAGCAGTGGAAGATGTCCCAAGTGCTTGGGCCCCTGCACCTGCATGGGAGACTGGGAAGAAGCACCTGGCTCCTGGCTTCGGGTCGGTGCAGCTCTGGCTGTTGTGGCCATCTGGGGAGTGAACCAATGGAAGGAAGACCCTTCTTTTTGTCTCTCCTTCTCACTGTCTATAACTGCACCTCTCAAATAAATAAAATAAAATCTTTTAAAAAATAGTCCAATGGTAAATATAATGACCACCTCTCAACATTTGTTCTGTTTGAGATCTTTCTATTCGGAATCAGTGAGGCTTTGTTATGTTTGTGCTTGTGCTTGTCCTGAGGTCTAAAAGCTCCTTTCTTAAAGGAGCCCAGTCTTGACCTTGCGAAAGGAATGTGAAAGTGTTCAGAATGAAAACAGAACCCTCTGTGCCAACCCTAAGGTAGCTAGATAAGTAGATAAATAAATAAATAAATAAATAAGCAAGCCAGGATGTTATGAAGCAAGTGTTCTGATGAACAAATGCCTGATGCTAACTATCACAAAACACTCTGCCAGAACCACATTACACAGAGGCCACCGCAACCTTATACAAAAAAGCACTTCTACAAGGACATCTGCCCAGCAACTGTCCGTTCAGCCTCAGACTAACATCATCCTGCTCATTAAATCATCGTGACCAAAGCTTGTTATTTCAAAATTTCTAATATAATCCACCTCAGTGTTGTCTTTAGAGACTTTGCCTCGCCTCCATCTCTTTAATATGCCCATAGTTTACTTCCATTACAACGTTCTGCTATTCCCATCACAGTACTCGCCTGTTGCCAAATAAATGTCAGTATTCTGTAGAGAGTTTCCCTCTCTCTCTGATTATTTTCCGTTTTTATTTACACTGACAAGTTCATCTCTGGAATGTAAACACTGGCATCAATGTAGCAGGACCCACTTTGTAACACTGGGGACAGAGGACAGGGACAACTTCCATGTGGCAGCAAACACTGCCAGCCTTTTTTTTTTTTTTTTTTTTTTTTTGACAGGCAGAGTTAGACAGTAAGAGAGAGAGACAGAAAGAGAGAAAGGTCTTCCTTCCATTGGTTCACCCCCACAAATGGCCTCTATGGCCGGCGTGCTGCGCTGATCTGAAGCCAAGAGCCAGGTGCTTCCTCCTGGTCTCCCATGAGGGTGCAGGGCCCAAGCACTTGGGCCATCCTCCCCTGCCCTCCCGGGCCACAGCAGAGAGCTGGACTGGAAGAGGAGCAACATGGACAGAATCCAGCGCCCCGACCGGGACTAGAACCCAGGCTGCCGGAACTGCAGGCAGAGGATTAGCCTAGTGAGCTGCGGTGCCGGCCTCAGCCAGCCTTTTATGGGATGGTGTGGCCCTTTCTGGTGCAGCATATTCACCTATGTTGTGTTTGCATTTATCTAATTATGAGAAATATCTTTACAGCATAGACTTTGCCCTAAAGTTTTGCCTCAGTCTTTTGTCCTAACAACTTAAGTAGCTTTCAATTCTGCCTATTTTATTACAGAAGCTGGTAATGACATTAGAGATGTAAAAGGATATGGATGCATCCATCCATTCATTCATTTGCATATATCTCATGTCTAGTGCATGGCTGATTCTAGCTGTGGATCTGGTATTTAGATGCCCAGAGAAGGAATACTGAACCTAGGGTGAGGCTGTCCGAGATGAGACCTGAATAAGATCATAAGGAACAGAGAAGAGAGTTGGTCAGGCATGGGGTGGGGGAAGGCGTGCACTCTGGACAGAGCGGTGAGCCTCAGCCAATGCAGAGTCCTGAGAATGCCTGGGAGGAAGATCAGAGTGACCGGGTACAGTGCCCTGATGGGCCCTCAGGAGGCAGTGCCGATTATGAAAGGGTCCCCTAAAACACTCCACGAGGCTTGTATATATAGCATCAAAAAATGTTCCCAAAAGCAATGGAAAGTTATTGAAGGATTTTGAGCAGGGCATCGAGCTTAATCCAATTTCAGTTTTAAGAAAACCACTTTAGTAGCAGTTCAGAGGATGGATTTGAGGGAGAAGAGATTAAAGTGGTGTCTCTTAACCTTGTCTGAATGTCGGAATCATCGGCAGAGCTTTAAGCAACACCCAGCAACCCTCTGAAATCCTAATATAATTAGTTTGGGGTGTGTCCTGGGCAACTGGATGATGAGCAGTTCTCTGTGAATGTCAATTTTACGTGTTAACTACACTGGGCCAGGGATAGCCAGACATTTAGCCAAAAACGACTCTAGGTGTACCTGTGCGGGTGTTTGTGCATGGCATTGATACTCGGATGGCAGACTGAGTAAAGCAGATGGCCCTCCACAGTGTGGAGGGGCAGGGGTGGGGGGCTCTTCCCACTCACGGAAAAGCTGAATGGAACAAAAAGGCTGAGAGGGAATTCCTCCTGCCTGACCACTTTAGCTGATACACTGGTCTTCTCTGGTCTTTGGATTTGGACCATAACATCAACTCTTCCTAGGTCTCAAAGCTGCTGGCTTCCAGACCAGAACTTCTACCACCAGTTTTTCTGAGTGTCAGACCTTTGGACTTGCATTGGAACAGCCCCATGGGCTGTCCTGGGTCTCCAGTTGGCCTTCTGTGCATCTTGAGACTTCTCAGCCTCCACAACTGCATGAGCCAATTCCTCACCGTATGATCCTCTCTCCCTCCCTCCCTCTCTCTCCTTCTCTCTCTCTCTCTCTCTCCTTCTCCCTCTCCTTTTCCCTCTCCTTCTCTCTTTCTGAGTGTGTGTCTGACTGTGAGTATATTTGTGTCTCTCTCCCAGTGGATGGACCATTGCCGATGGCAGGTGGGCAAGGAGAGGAGTTAAGCATAACTCAGGTTTGGGATTTGTAAGAAAAGAAGGTGGCAACACCATCACCTAGAAAATCGCACAATCCAGTACAAAGGAATACCAAGCTCCTGGGTCAACAGCGCAGAAAGAGTGGTGCATGCTCAGGTAACAGTGACTTGCCCAAGTGAGGATGTGTGGGTTTAGGTAATAAAAACAGAGTGGAGACCAGAACTCTGGGAAGTGCCAGCTGTTAGGACTGGAGGGGGTAGTGGCAGCAGGAAAAGGAGGCTAGGAAAGAGGAGACAAAGGGAACCTGAAGAGCCATGGGGAGAGAGATTTCAGGCACCAGTGACCAACATGGGTGACTAATCAAAGCAGAACTGAAATTCCTGATTGGACACTAGAAGGCGGCTGTTAACTTCAGACAAGCCATTTCAGTGGAGTGGAACAGGGAGCCATCAGATAGTGGTGGGCTGTGGAAAACAGATGAGAAGACAGAAATTGCCAGTATGCGTTTGCTCTTTGACGCGATCAGGTTTTGAGAGGAATGTCAATGTAGCCAGAGGGGAATCCAGGATCAAGGCCAGTTTCTCTGCAGGGTGGCTGTAAAATAGGAGGCAACCACACAGGTTGATGGTAGAGGAGCCGGGGGAGGGAAGAGATGGGAGCTGCATAGGTGAGTGACGGATGCATTGAGGGCCCACAGGAGGCCAAAAGAAGGAGAGGCTACCTTCTAGAGAATGCCAGAGGCTCACCCTCTTGTGGAGGGGAGAATATCGTAAAGACAAGTGGTGGGTGCAAGGTTTGGAAAGGAAAGTACTAAACATTTAGTACTGCTGCTCCTGGGGTTGAGAGAGAGAGCTGGCTGGGGAGGATGGCAGGCAGCACTGGAAGCCCAGCTGAGCCTGGAGCCCTATGGACGCTATTACCACTGTGCAGGTGGGGACAGCTGAAAAGTACAAGGGGAGGGCAATCGCCCAGTGTGACAAGTCCTCACCGTCCTGTATCCCACCCCCCGTTTTTGCTCCTACACCTCAGGCTCCACTACCCCTCTACACAGAGTGGGCTACCGGCCTGGACATCATCCAGGAATGAATTAGGAAAGTTCAGTCATCTACTGTATCCCTGGTTCCCCATCAGCTGATTGAAGCAACTACAGATTGAAAATATGTGTGAAAAATGCATCTGTACGGAATGTGTACTGACTTTTTTATCCTTGTCATTATTCCCTAAACAATACAGTCTGACAACTACTTACAGAGTCTCTCTTTCATAGTGGGTATTATACGTAATCTAGAGATGATTTAAAGTTTACAGGAAGATGCACATCAGTTGATCTACACCATTTTATATAAGAGGCTTGAACAACCTTGGATTTGATATCCATGGGGGATCCTGGAGCTAATTCCCTGCAGATGCTGAAGAACAAGTGTGTTCTTTCAAGTCTCGCCCCAGACTGCCTGGCTGAGAATCAAGGTGTAACAAGGCTTCCAGGTGACTGGAACTCAGCACACCATTTGAGAAATTGTGCTTTAGGTTTTCTCCAACCATAGTGTTCCCTATCCAAGTAGGCCATGAAATGTGCATGCTGGTCTCTTGGAGTACTGGCCTGTCGCTCCTAACTTCCTAACTGATTCCTTTCTAAGAACAATGGTACCGGCCAGCGCCGCGGCTCACTAGGCTAATCCTCTGCCTGCGGTGCCGGCACCCCGGGTTCTAGTCTCGGCTGGGGTGCCAGATTCTGTCCTGGTTGCTCCTCTTCCAGTCCAGCTCTCTGCTGTGGCCCGGGAGTGCAGTGGAGGATGGCCCAAGTCCTTGGGCCCTGCACCCGCATGGGAGACCAGGAGGAAGCACCTGGCTCTTGGCTTCAGATCAGCGCAGCGCACCGGCCATAGAGGCCATTTGTGGGGGTGAACCAATGGAAGGAAGACCTTTCTCTCTTTCTGTCTCTCTCTCTCTCACTGTCTAACTCTGTCAAAAATAATTAAAATAAAAATAAAAGAACAATGGTACCTCCTCTCTCACTCCTCCTAAGACTGTGCTTGGAAGAACTGTTTGCCTGCTTGGATGTGTTTGCATGAACTTCATCTGCGTGCTGCCACATTGCTTTTGTTTTTCTAAGCACCCAACATGGCCCACATGAAGTCAGCACTCTGTAATGTCCCTGCGTGTCCAGCAAATGAAACCCAGGCCCCTGGATCACAGCTCAGCTTCCCCACCCAAGCACTGAGACCATTTTCTACACATAGAACATCATGCTTGGTTTTTTTGGTTAGTTTAATGGCGTTATAATTCAAGCACTAAGTTCCTCACCTGGCACGTGTCTGATATTACTCCCCCCCCCAATTTTGGAAAGGGTTTCTTTTATTGTTTTCTATAGAAATTCAAAAACCCCTGTCTCTTTCAAAATGTTTACATACCACAGACAGTTAAGATCTCAGGTCCCAATCTTGGCAGCTCTTTTCCTAAGTGGCTATAAAGGAATGTAGAATTTTAAAACATTAGAAGTTCATTACTTAATTTTCCAAGTGTGAAAATCCTATTTCTGAGATGAAATTCGTTTTCTAACTAAAGGACAGGCAACTAAACCACAACCATCTGTGACCTTTTTCTTAATCTACTCTGTAAGTTCCTGGGTATGAAAATCAGGTCCTTTGCCTTTCTGTTATCCCTCTGGAGCTTGGCACACAGATGGTGGTTAATAAACGTTTCTGATCCAACAAGAAGGAACAGGTTTCCGACTTTACCTTTCATGAAGCTGAGCCATGAAGTCTGTGTTAACTGTGGACAACCTATTGAGTACCTGCTAAATGTTGAGCTCTTCCCTCCACATCTGCCCCTCTCTTTTAGAGTTGCCCTTCCGAAACCTGGGGCTCCTTGCTGACCACTGATGCTTCATACATGCTATTTTGTGCAAACAACCCAGGAACCTTGGGAACTAGGGAGAGAGCAAAGAAACTCATCTCCGTGTTATCTCAAGCCCATCATCTTGTTAATCAGGTTAGGCCTTGAAGAAATTGCTTATTTTTTCCTTCATCTCAACATTCTCAGAAGTGCTAATATTCAAAATACTTTCCCCACGCCCCCAGCTCATTAGGGCATGCCAGTCACTTTGTGTGGGAGAAGATTTGATCCCTGTCTCTAGTGCTGCCTTAGAAATTGCAAATGTTTAGACATTCATAGCAAAAATCCATGCACCCTCAAATAAATGAGAATTTGTCAAGACACAGAGTTATGGGCCTTGATGCATCTGGAAAAGGTGTGTGGGATTCTTTCAATCAAGTAAGGACTTTGGGGTGAGAGGCTAAACAACTGTCCTTTTGCACAGGCTCCATTCTAGCACTTTTTACCAATTATTCCATTTTTTTCTCACAAGAATCCTGCCAGAATGGTGCTAGTCCCATTTACAGCCCAAGTAAGTGAGGCTTGAAGAAGCTAGGAAAATTTCCCAGTATGCCACAGCCAGTAAAGCTATTAAAGAAGATGCCCCCACCCCCACTAGGGCCAGACTACCTTCCAAGGATGCCATGCTTTTTCTTTTTTATTCTACTAGCTTGGCATGAGTTCTGCTTTTCTAACATGCTCTTTATATACCAAAAATGAAGCATTATGGAGTACCCAACACGTTCTCCTATCAAAAAATGATTCCTTATTACCTACTCTTCAACACGAATGCAACTGAAGCACTCCATATTAACATGCCCATGTTGGGTCTGTTTTTACACTGCGGCAGGCTAAGCCACCCCTTGCAACACCAGCATCCCATATCAGAGAGCTGGCTCAAGTCCCCACTACTCCACTTCCAATCCAGCCTCCTGCTAACACACCTGGGAAGGCATCGGATGATGGCCAAATCCTTGGGTTCCTGCCACCCATGTGGGAAACCAGGGTGGAGTTCCTGGCACCTGGTTTCAGCCTGGTCCAGACCGAGTTCTTCTGGCCATTTGGGAAGTGAACTGTCAAATAGTGGATATCTATCTATCTATATATCTATCTCTTTCTCTCTTTGTCAATGTCCCCTTTAAATAAATAAATAAATATTTTATTAAAAAAATAGATGCCAGGCCAGTGTTGTGATATAGTAGGTTAGGCCTCTGCTTGCAACACTGGCTGCTGTGCTTCCTATCCAGCTCCCTGCTAATGCACCTGGGAAAGCAGCAGAAGATGGGTCAAGTGCTTGGGTACCTGCCACCCACATGGGAGATTCAATGGAGTGCCAGGCTCCTGGCTTTGGCCTGGACCAGTTCCAGCTATTGTGGCCATTTGGGGGGGGGTAAGCCAGCAAATGGAAGAGTGTTCTCTCTCTCTCCCCCTCTACCCCTGTGTCACTCTCTCCTCCAAATACAGAAATAGATAAATCATTTTTTAAAAAATAGATGATAATGTTGTCTATGATGCAGAGAATTCTGAATTGGAACTCATTACATACTTATTGTGCATTTTACCCAAGTTCCTGTGGTAGCCGTGGGGAACACACACACACACACACAAGTTTGTGCCATCAAGAAGCTTATAAGTTAAAGCTAAGGTTTAAACAACAGTTCAACCCAGTAAATTGAAGAGCTGTCACCAGCCCTCCACAAGATGAATTGCCAAATGTATTTTCTACCCAACTTCTATAGGCAGTCAGACACTATACCCATACGGCATCTCTGCAACTCAAAATGCACACTTTGGTAATAGATCTCCTGTCATCCACCATGAGGAGAGGAACCTTGGTGTTTTCCAAGGGAAGGAAGGTCAGAGTGGTCTGTGAGCAATCTCTATGAGGTTGTGATTGATTAACACTGGAAGCCAGGAGCAGGAAACTGGGGGTAGATTAAAGAGCAGATGTGGCTGGGGAGAAATTGGAAAGCTCCATTTTGGACTTGCTCATGCTGCATGGATTTGCCTGCACTTCATGTGGCATCTTACCACGTTAGCCAATCTAGGAAGTCTCAAGCACTCTAGGTGGGAAGAAAATCAAGGTTGGTACATGACATCTTTGTTCTATGTGCAAGGAATGGGCAGTTAGAATCACCTGATCATCCCCAATCCCACCTAGACTACAGCGTTCTCAAAATCACACTGGATGGGGAAAGAACTCACTTAGAGCCAATGTGTGCCAGGGTCCAGTATGTGCCAACTATGGAGAGTGAACTGTAAAAAGCCAGGAATTTTTGTGAGCTAGTTGTTAATCTATTGATAATTGGCCATCATGGTGCATTTACGCTAGGCTAATTGGCAAAAACTACAAATGAAAGGAAAAATCACCAAGACTCTACAGTGCACTGTGTCGCTAAGTTAGGACGTTGGATAGGTTAGGTGTATTCAATGCAATTCCAACTTAGGACATTTTCAAATTATGATGGGTTTTTGTGGATGTAACCCCATTGTAGGTCAAAGGGCAACTGTGTCTTTTTGAAGGGGGCAGTTTCCAGCACAACAGTGCTTAGAGCTGTCTGTGTGTTGTCTTCTTCCTGATTTACACAGTTACATCAACTCTGCATCACTTGGAGAAGCCCAAGTTTGAATCATACACTTATTGAACTTTACAGTTTGGGCATTCGGGTCTGCAAGGCCAAGGATGGTCTTCATTTGAGCAGATTTTATTTTTTTTTCTTTTTTTGACAGGCAGAGTTAGTGAGAGAGAGACAAAGGTCATCCTTCCATTGGTTCACCCCACAAATGGCCGCTACAGCAAGCGTGCTGCGCCAATCCAAAGCCAGGAGCCAGGTGCTTCCTCCTGGTCTCCCATGTGGGTGCAGGGCCCAAGCACTTGGGCCATCCTCCACTGCCCTCCTGGGCCACAGCAGAGAGCTGGACTGGAAGAGGAGCAACCGGGACAGGACCGGTGCCCCAACCGGGACTAGAACCCAGGGTGCCGGAGCCACAGGCGGAGGATTAGCCTAGTGAGCCGTGGCGCCGGCCTGAGCAGATTTTCTTAAAGAACTACTAGGATATCTACATGAATTAGAATCCTGGATGTCAAAGTGACCCTCAGGCAGCAGCAGCATTATCTTGTGGGAACTTGTTAGAAATGAAAATTCTCCCACTGCATCCACCACCAGTAGACTCACCAAATCAGGAACTCTCAGGAGGGGTCAGAAATACATGGTGTAATAAGCCCTCCAGGTGATTCTAACGTACACTCAAGTTCAAGGCTAGTCTCTCTCTCAAAAGTAAAGCAAACTTTAACCTTTTATCATTTATATTTTAAATGCACATTATACATACTCATGCCATATAATCAATAAATTACCAGGTGCTTACCAAGTACCATGTATCTAAACTCTGTGTTAGAGTTAGCATTGAATATGGCCTATAGAGTAATCCCTGTGTATTAGTCAGATTTTTGTTACTGTAATGAAATGCCTGGGGCAGTCTAACTTTATAAAGAAAGGAGGTTTATGTTGGCCTGTGGTTCTGGAAGTCCAAGGCCCTAGATTGATCAGGTTCTATTTGTTTGGCCTCTGGTGAAGTTGGTAGACAGCAAATGTGGGGCTTGAGTAGAGGGTCACATGATGTTCTAGGAAGCAAAGAGAAAGAAAAATTTGGCCCAAATTGAGGCTTTTATAAAAATCCTAGCATAGGGGCCGACACTGTGGCGCAATGGGTTAACACCCTGGCCTGAAGTGCTGGCATCCCATATGGGCGCTGGTTTGAGTCCTGGCTGCTCCTCTTCCAACCCAGCTCTCTGCTATGGCCTGGGAAAGCAGCAGAAGATGGCCCAAGTCCTTGGGCCCCTGTACCCGCATGGGAGACCCAGAAGAAACTCCTGGCTCCTGGCTTTAGATCGGCATAACTCCAGCCATTGCGGCCAACTGGGGAGTGACCCATCGGATGGAACACCTCTCTCTCTCTCTCTTTATTTCTCTGCCTCTCCTTCTTTCTCTGTGTAACTCTGAGTTTCAAGTAAATAAATAAATCTTTTAAAAAAATCCTAGCATACTCCAATGACCTAAGGACCTCCCACTAGGCCTCATGTCAAGGTCCTGCCACTTCCAGTGGGGCCATCCTGGAGACCAAGCCTTTAAAACATGAGCTTTGGGGGAACATTCAACATCCACATTGATTCCCAAACCATGTATTCTGGTATCCATGCCTTTTTCTAGTCTCCCTCTACCTTGAGTCATGGGCAGTCTGTGTGACCTATTGAGTACCCAGAAATGCTAATGAGTGATCTCTGAAACTAGGTCATAAAAGGCATCACAGATTCCACTGATCTCTTAAGACACTTGCTCTGGGGGACTCAACCACTATGCTACAAGAATGCTCAAGTAGTCTTGTGGAGAAGCCCCTGTAAATAAAACAGAGATGCCAGTAGCAAACAAATTGCCATTCACAGGAGTGCACCGTCTTGGCAGATTCCCCAGCCTCAGTCAAGCCTCGGATGGCTGAAGCCTGCCTGTGCTGGCTTCTGAGTACATCTTCAAGAGAGACCCTGAGCCAGGACCACCCAGCCATGTCCTTTCTGTAGTCTTAAATGCAGAAACCATGAGAGTTAAGACAGAAACTATGATAGTTAAGACACTAAGTTGTGGGCAATTTCATTCACAGCAATAAATGGCTAATCTACTCTGTACTGAAAGTGGCTGAAGGTGGAGGTGAATGTGACAGTCCTGACTGGGGGTTTGAATGGTACAAAGATACACAAAACAGCATCTTTTCCAGAAAGAAGCTTACTGCTTATTCGGGAGATAGGATATGAGGGGTCTTCAAAAAGTCTATGGAAAATGAATATTACCTATTTATTTCATTCTTCCACGAACTGCTTTAGTGCATATGCACTAAAAGTAAGAATTTTAAAAGAAGCTTTACTCATTGATTTAAGAGATAACCTGAGTTGAAAAAAAAAAAATGCTCCTGGAGCTCCTTTGAGAAATGAGTCGTTCTGTAAAGCCAACATTTGCAACTCACTTTAGACATCTGTCCTCTTTTTATACAGACCACCTAATTCCTCAGTTCTCTCAGCAGGAAAAACAGGAAGTGCTTGTTACCAAGGAAGTGGGTTGTGATTGTGCAGCCCATTTATACAGGACATCATCGCTGTCAGCTGGAGACCCAGGGCTGCATGTCAGTGACAGCCTTCAGCATACCCAGGAGGCCAATATACCAGACCGATTTCTGGTTTAAAGATCTATATAAATCCCCTCATTCATTCCTCAGCACAATCTCATGATCATCTCACTTTCCTGGTGTGCCAACATGTGGAGCAGACAAGTGAGCCACCCAGGTAAATGGTGGAGCTGTGACTGTCTGAAACTGAGCCCATGCTGCTTATAATCTAGCATGTGGCCTCAAGGGACTCTCCCTTTGCACAGAAAAGCCTTTGCCATCAGATTGCATAACTTATTTAAAGGTAATATCAAGGCACTTCAAAAAGTTTGTGGAGTGAACTTTCAGCTTAGGAATGAGATGCTACTTGTAATACCTGCATCCCATGTTGGAGTCTCTGGGTTTGAGTCCTGGCTCAACTCCCAATTCCAGTTTGCTACTAATGCACACCCTGGGAAGCAGCAGGTGATGGCTCAAGTACTTAGGTTCCTGACACCCAGGCAGTGAAGCTGGACTGTGTTCCCAACTCTTGGCTCCAGCCTGGCCCATCCCTGGGTGCTGCAGGAATTTGGGAAATGAACTGGCAGATTGGAACTCTCTCTCTCTCTCTCAAATAACTAAAATAATTTTTTGAGTCTGTGGTAAACTAGAATTAAAAGATAAGCTTACTTGGGTGCAAACAATTTGAAATTCATGCTTAATGGTCTTTTGATAATATGCATATTCCATGTCCTTTTAAAAGGCCCCTCATACATGTTCATTGCACAAAATCCAAAAGGTGCAGAAGTCAGGTTTCTGAGTCAGCCACCAATTCTCTTCTCCTCCAAAAGACAAAGTTACAGAGAGAGGTTATAGATAGAGAGGTCTTCCATCTACTGGTTCACACTCCAGATGGCCACAACGGTCAGAGCTGAGCCAATCTGAAGCCAGGAGCCAGGAGCTCCTCCATGGCTCCATTTCTCATCATATGTCCTCCTAAAGAGTCTCTCTCCCTCTTGTTTTTCATCACCAGCCTTTCTCCCCAGGGCTGAGGGAATGCAGCAGCAATTTCCGACCCTGGCTTTGAGAAGAAGCCTGCCCTGCAGCACGAATGGGGGAAGTGGAATCTGCAACAGGGGTCCTCGCTCTCCAGGAAGTCACATTCTGGTTTGTTGTGGCAAAAACCGCCTTGTGACTCCCTCGTGCCAATGTCGACCATGGCATGCATTGCTCTCAGAGAACCCCAGTCCATGATGTCACCTGGTACTTGCCTGCCTCAGTGTCTCTGATTGTTTTCTTCAGGAATAGAGGGTCTCATCTTCACTAAGCCAAGAATCCACTTGGGAGCCCCAAAGGGGGTTTGGGCCAAGGCCAGCTGGGACATCTTTCCCAGAAAATGATGCAGGAAGACAAATCAAGTGGCCTGGGTTCAGGTTCCATGTGTACGAACTTGATATAAGTCAGTCCAGCTCTCAAGGATCCGTGCTGGACCTATCCTAAGGAAAATGGAGTCAGGAAGGACAGCTGTGTCTGCCCTGCACCCCTGCTGGTGTTGTGCTAGCTCAAGGCACCCACCACACAGCACTGTGGGTATCTTTCATTGCTCACCTTGCCCAGTGGATAGGTGACTCTTGAGGCAGGAGCTGTGCTGCTTCCCCTTCTTCCCCTCCGTTTCACAGCACTTGACGTGTAGTAACTGCTCATTCATGATTTTTGGGAAAAGAGATTGATCAATGAGTACTAAGTTATGATTGTACAAGGAGAAAGAAGTTCTGATACTGCATTGCACAGCAGGATGACTATAGGTAAGGATAACAGCTTATTTCAAAAAAGCTACAACAAAGAATTTTGAATGTTTTAATCAGAAAGAAATGGCAAATATTTGAAGAAATGTATTTATCTAGACTTGAACATTTCACAGTGCATACATGGGTCAGCATAGCTCATGATACCCCCTAAATATGCATGCATTTGATGTACCACTTCTAAAATTTTTTAAAAACTTTTTTAAATGTAAGAAGAGAAGACTTTTGGAAAGTCTATTGATACACATTCAAGCATTCTTCCTGAGGCAATGTCCACTTTATTTTAAATAGTAACTTTCCTTGCCCTATTTTTATAGCATTTGCTGTCTTCTAATCTCTTCCAAACTTTACTTATGCATTATGCTTATAGCCTGGCTCACTGTTATGGCTAATTTTGCATGCTAACGTAGCTGAGCCCTAAGTACCCAGATACTTGGCCAAGCATCAATCTAGATGTTGGTATGAAGATATCATATTAGATGAAATTAAGAATTAGATCAGTAGACTTTGAATCAAGCCACAATTGAAGTATTTAAAAGAATGAATCCTTCAAAAAAACAGGGAGAGAGAGAGAATGAATCCCCTAAGGAAGAAGGAATTGTTCCATAAGTCTTCAGACTCAAGCTTACAGGGACTCCAGCCTACAAGCCTACCCCGCAGATATTGGACATGCCAAGCCTTAAGCTTAAATTCCCTGAAATCTCTCTCATTCACCATAGGAGGGGTCTTCAAAAAGCATGTGGAAAAATGTGTATATATGAAAAATCTACATAAGGATTTCAATTTTTTGCAGCAAAATAAATATCTCTTTTTCCCACAAAGGTTTTGAAGTACTCATATATATATATATATGTATATATATATAATAGACATAGACATACATATGTGTGTACATATACAGTCTGACTTCCATGTATGAGAAGTCTTTACCAGTAGATTCAACAAACCATAAATATTAGTAAAAAATGCATCAGTACTGAATATGTACAGCTCTTTTCCTTGTCCTTATTCTATAAACAATGCTGTATAAGAGCCACTTTTGTAGTAATTGCATTGTGATAGGTGTTAGAAGTAAACAAGAGATTATTTAAAGTATATGGAAAGATGTGTGAAGATTAAATGCAAATTCTACACCATTTTATACCAGGTACTTGAGCATCTGTGGATTTTAGTATCTGCAAGGATCCCAAAACCAACCCCCAACAGACACTGAGGAACAACCACACCTATGCCCACATCCTACTGGTTCTGTTTCTTCTTAGGAACTTGGCAAGCACGTGCTCCAAGCCTTGAACCCCAAGTGGTTTTTCTCACTGGTTCACTCATGTACATATCCTAAGTGCCTAGAGGAGACCCTAGCACATTTGAGTTATGTTCAAATATTTGACAAGTTCTAAAAACTGAAAAGTACCTCTGATGTGCTACTGTTATCATTTGATTTAACAGAATGCTAGACACAAGCAACACTTTTTTTTTTTATTTATTTGACAGATAGAGTTAGACAGTGAGAGAGACAGAGGGAAAGGTCTTCCTTTTCCTTCCATTTGTTTACCCCCCAAGTGGCCATCACAGCTGGAGCTATGCTGATCTGAAGCCAGGGGCCAGGTACTTCTTCCTAGTCTCCGACGAGGGTGCAGGCACCCAGCACTTGGGCCATCCTCCACAGCCTTCTCAGGCCACAGCAGAGAGCTGGACTGGAAGAGGAGCAACCAGGACTAGAAGCCAGTGCCCATATGGGATGCTGGCACACAGGCGGAGGATTAACCAAGTGAGCCACGGTGCCAGCCCCTCACAAGCAACATTTTAAAATTATATCTTTGGGGACCGGCACTGTGGCACAGTGGGTTGAAGCCCTGGCCTGAAGCACCGGCATCCCACGTGGGTGTCGGTTCTAGTCCCGGCTGCTTCTCTTCCAATCCAGCTCTCTGTTGTGGCCTGGGAAAGCAGTAGAAGATGGTCTAAGTTCTTGGGCCCCTGCATCCGTGTGGAAGACCCGGAAGAAGCTCCTGGCTCCTGGCTTCAGATTGGCTCAGCTCTGGCCATTGTGGCCATCTGGGGAGTGAACCAGTAGATGGAAGACCTCTCTATCTATACCTCTCTCTGTAACTTTGTCTTTCAAATAAATAAAATAAATCTTTAAAAAAATAAAATTATATCTTTGTATGATGATATTTAAAGACTTGTTAGGGTATATCTTTAGTAACTTTTCATGTAATATCTCCTTTGGGTCTAAGTTTAGGAGTTGAGCTACACTCTGGGCAGAAAGAGTTCCCAGCATTTATTGTTTCCATGAGCTGATTCAATAGACCTCTGTTGATGGAATTATTTTGTTAGCCTCAGATAAGCCTTTGGTCCTAAAATGATCTCCCACTACAGATATAAAAAGATTACAGAATCAGACACTAGAAACAAATTCCACTGCCATTCTTGCATCCAGCGCATCCTGGGAATGTGTCCCATACTCGTGAGCCATGTGGGCAGTTTGTGGGTGGAAGAGGGAGATGTGGAGCTCTCTCAGCAATCACCTGTACTTCCTCAGCATTAGAAACCTCTGGGGGCTGGCGCTGTGGCGTAGCAGGTAAAGCTGCCACCTGCCGCGCCGGCATCCCATATGGGCACTGGTTCTAGTCCTGGCTGCTCCACTTCCGATCCAGCTCTCTGCTATGACCTGGGAAAGCAGTAGAAGATGGCCCCAGTCCTTGTGCCACTGCACCCATGTGGGAGACCTGGAAGAAGCTCCTGGCTTCGGATTGGTGCAGCTCCAGCCGTTGCAGCCAATTGGGAAGTGAACCAGCGGATGGAAGATCTCTCTCTCTTTCTCTATCTCTCTCTCACTCTCTCTGCCTCTTATTCTCTCTGTGTAACTCTGACCTTCAAATAAAATAAATAAATCTTTAAAAAAAAAGAAACCTCTGATTCATTGCATCATCCTGGAGAACGGATCACGGCTCAGAGCCGATAGGACTTCCTCCACTTTCCCAACTTCTCTGCATCGTGGTCCAATTCTGGTTGATTAAATCCAACCAGAAGACTCCTTGGCTTCTCTGGAAAAAGTGTTTTCCCCCTGAGAACATGCTGGGTTCTCCCCTTCCTCTATCTTCCAGATTCAAACACAGATCTGATGGCTGGAGCTGCAGCATCTTGGGACAATGAAGAAAAGGTCAAGAGACTCAGACTTAAGTCCTAATACCATTGAGCTGCTAAACTAAAGCCAAAGCCCTCTACTTTGATTTCTTATTATACCAGAAAAATGAACCTATGTTCACTGAAGCAGCTGTGTTTGAGTTTTCTGTTTCTTGTAGCCAAAAATGCTCCTCAATAATACTGATGGCACTATATTACAACCACCAAGCTTATAGCAACGAAACACACAGTCTGTTTTCTTCCTCCGCTTAAGCCAAAGGAAACTGCTACAGTAGATTTTCAGATGTTTCAACAGAGCCACCTTTCCAACATGGCATGGTAAAATCTAGGGCAAAGGCTGCCAAAATTCACCAAAATACCCCAGCTTAATTGACATTACAAAATTGTTCCAGTTAGAAACACAACTTGGTATAATGGGACAATCACCATGAACAGGAATCAGGAACAGTACATCTAAGTTCTAGCTCCCTCTAACATGATTGCCATTCTTCTATGAGTTCCATTCATCTTCTATAAAATGAAGGAATTAGACTGGATAATTCCTGACATTCCCTCCAGAGCTCACATCCTATGTAAACTACAAACAGAAATAAATTATTCTTAAAAATTCACAAAATTCTGTGATAGTCTGCTAATCTGTTGGCTGCTTTCCAACTGCTGTGATTGACAGTCTGATGCCTTAGGTAAGTCTCAAAGGACAAATCCATGTGCATTTGCACATAAATTTCTCTGGTCTTTTCAAAGTACATTGGAACAATGGTAGCAGCTGCATGGAAACCATGGGTGCAACGCAGTCCAAGTGCATTTTCCAGGAGGTGGGTGCCTCTACCAGGTGACCCTCAGTCCCAGACTCATCCCTGCCATCTTCCAGAATTGCTGAGGCCTGGATGCCCTGATGCAGCACCTCCCTCTATGCATCCTTTTCATGTCAGCCAGCTATCCATTTTCTCTTTTAAGAATTAGCATGATCTTTTTGTGCTTCTGTCCTTGATCTTTCACTAAAAGAAAATTAGACTATCTACAATAGATGGCTTTCTCAGTACTCTGGTGGGCTGCTTGCAAATTCATTATTGTCCAGGCTGAAGCACCTCATCATCCCATGATTTAGCCTCTTCTGGGCTGTGTGGTGAATTCGGAGCCAGACAACCGAGCTGAATAATTGCGTGGGCTTTCAGGAGAGTACTCTGATATCTCCCTTTTCCTGTTCTCACCAACTCACACAGACCCATAAATCCTGCACAAAGTTCATCAAAGCTCTGCACCAAATGTCGGCATTGTGCCAGGCATAGTCCACCTGCCAAGTAATCAGAGAAGACAGGGATGTACCCTGACCTCCAGAATCTTACGGTCAAGGAGAGGCAGATGAGTGAGCTGACTACTGTGCTGCAAGGTTACAAGTGCAGCCACCAAACGATGCATACAGCACCATAAGCCCAGAGGAAGGTACCATAAGCCCAGAAGAGGGCTACTAAACTGAATAGGGAGGAAGGGGGAAAAGAAGAGGAAGGCAGGGAAACCCTGCTCCCATAGTGAGAGTCTGGACACTTCAGACTGGCAAAATCTCCAGCTGCTGGGTTTTGATGCCTGTCTTACTCCCAACCCTTGAATCCTTCTCTCCTCTTCTCCACTTTCCCTCCTGCCCTCACTTCCTCCACAATCTACTGTGGGGGAAAACTGCTATCCTTGAAACATTCTCAGCCATTCAAGCTGCCCTGCTCCACCAGGCAATCTGACTCCATTACTGGGGCCCTCTTTGGCCCTGCCTCCAGGCATTCCAGGTGCTCCTAGGATGGGCTTAGGACCATCCTCTTCCAGTCAAAAGGGTTTGTGTTTGTAAGTTTATTTACTTTCTGGATTGCTTCACAACACAATGGTTTCTGGAAACAATGGGATCCAGGCACCTGAAGTCTTGCAATGCATCACCATTTCTAAATGAGCAGAGTGCAAGGTGAATATGTTCAGACTTGGAGGTGAGAGCGGTGCTAGAAAGGGCCTCACAGTCAGGAAAGCACAAACCCAAAGTCACGGCCAGTACAGATGTGGGACTGGGGTCCTCTCCCCAAGGCTGCCAGCCTTTTCCAGAACAGAGGGCCATCCCACAGCTCTGTTGGACCAAAAACCTGAGGCCACAGAGAAGCAGCTCCCAAATGATACAGGGCTGGGGAGTCATCCCAGGGAGGAGAGAGAAGGGCAGAGAGGCCAAGGGGCGAGCTAAGGCTGGTTTTCCTGGGATGAGAAGGGGGTTTCCTCCTCTATGCTGCTGACAGAGCAGAACAGAGTTTCTGGGAACACATAGTATTACAGGAAGACCTGCGGTAAAGACTGACAGCATGAGTTGTTACAGAGAAGTAATGGATGCCGCCCTCTCGCTCTGTCTCATGAACTGAAAAGAAGAGGAATTCGCCTCCCGGCAGGCAGGATGACTTGCCGTGTCCAGCACAGAGGAAAGCGTGGACTCAGTGGACACCCAGGTCCTTTCGGGTTCACAGTGTGGTCCTCTGCTCCCACCAGGCGGGTCTGCTGGAAGAAGCTGTGTGGTGTTTTGGGTTCCATCATAAAATCAAGGACTGTAAATGAACGTCTCCATGGCAAAACTCCAACCACCCCACTACTAATCACAATCCCTACTTCCCTTCCTTTTTAAATCTGAAAACCAGAATCTCAATTTATTAAAAATTAAAGGATAATTCACTTCACTCATTTTACATCACACCCTCCCTCCCAGTAAGTCACCTGGCCAGTTAGCTCTACTTATTAACCTACAAAAATATTTCTTTTTATTATGAACATTTTCAAACCTACAAAAAAGTAGAGAGGACACCAAGCCCCATATACTCAACTCCCTGAGTCAACAATTACATGTCTAACAAAATTAACAATAATTCCTTGGTATTATATGCCCCAACTGGGGTGGGCATTATGGCACAGTGTGTTAAGCTGCCACTTGGAATGCCCACATCCCTTATCAGAGTGCCAGTTCCAGTCCTAGCTACTCCACTTCTGATCCAGCTCCCTGGGAGTGCACATCCTTGGAGGACAGCAGATAATGGCTCAGGCATTGGAGTTCCTGCCACCCAGAATGGAGAGAGATGGAATTCCTGGCTCCTGAATTTGACCTGGCCCAGCCCTAGCCATTGTGCCCCTTGGGGAGTGCAGGTGGAAAATTCATTCTCTTTCTATCTCTCTTTCTCTTTCCCTCCTTGTCTCTCCCTCTCTCTGTCACTATTTCAAATGAAAAAATAAATCTTTTTTTTTTTTTCAAATGTCCCCAGTTGCCTAGCTCACAGCTGGCTTCCTCAAATCACAATCTTCCATAGGACCTCACATGACATTTATGTGATGTCTCTCAAGTCTCACATCCTTGATTACTGCACTGGCCTAGTAATTAGGTAGAATGGCTTACATCTTAGACTTCTCAGCTTCTCTTTTTATGGAGTCAGTTTACTTATTCTTCTATGCCCTGTATTTCTAGCAACTGGAACTTAGTTTTTCTATCTGATTCAATGTGGGTTGAACTTTACTTTGCAAGAATACTTCTGAGGTGGTGCTTGGTTGTTTGTATTTGGGGAAGCACCCAATGATTTGCTGTTCCACTGTTAGTGATGCTACCATTGAACAGTGACTTTAGGAGGTGACAGTCTGATACTATCCCATAGCCTTTAAATGATGATTACTGCCTGAATCGGTTTCACTAGGGATTGCAAAATGGTGATCATCTAATTCGGTTTTTCCTTCCACACTTATTTTTACATTACTACTTTATCCATCTATTTAAAGCTTCAATGAGAAAGAAATCATACAAAACTATGCATCCTGATACTGCAGGAATTAAGGATTATTTCTCAGCTGAAAGTAGAGCTCATGGTTTGGGAAGAAAATAGTGGGTGCAAAGTAGAGACATAAAGAGCCTCAGACTGGGAAGAGGGGTCTTAGAATGGGGACCACGTGTCTGGGGGGCCATGCAGGTTTGCATAATCTCCTGTGTGGCATCCATCCTGGCTGATTAAACCTGTAGACGTGTAGATCACATTGGGCAAAGGAGTCCACAAACAGAAGCACGAGGAAGAAGGGAGATCTGGTGAAAAAGTATCTGAGTACAGTTTGGAGACTTGAGGGTACTACCTGGTAGGATGGTGTAGGATTCAAAGTTAAATGCTTCTGGCAGAGTCACTGGTTGAGATTCTGGGGAGTGATGGACTGAAGCGGCACCCTGACTCCATGCACTGGGCTGAAAGAAGATCAGCGCAAGCCCCACCTGCCACCTATGTCCATGGGGAGGTCCCCTCAAGGTTGGAGAGTGAGTGTAGCATGTCACCTGCTGTGGCTACTCTACTCTGCCTGACTGCCCCTGCCTGAGGCCTCTTTTTCTCCTTCAGGGAAAACACTGTCATCCTCATTTGTTCTCTGTTCCCCATACAAGCCCACCTGGGGAGAAAATTGATACCATGTTGCTTACATAATCATCGCTCTTTTAGCAGCTGCTTTGGAGGACTGGGAGGACTGTATAGACAAGTTGCTGCTGCTGCCACCATGCAGTAATTAGAATTTCCTGCTATAAAATATAACCCTGACCACACCACCGCTCTTAAGTCAGGCAGTGAGAGAAGCCAGGAGAGGGACAACTTGTAAAGGAACTCTAAGGTCATGCAGGGGCCTCTCTGTTCAGCTCATGTGCTTATAAGACAGAGGCAGAGGATGGAAAGAGAAACACATACATCAGGGTGAATTTGAAAACTAGGTCAAGGTCTTGCAAGAATTGCATTCAGATAAGATCCCAAAATTTATTGAGGCTTATGAAAAACAAAAAAGATGACAAAAGAAGGTTATTGAATGATATTTGCAGTCAGTGAATCAAGGGACAAAGGCACTAATTGGTGAATACATGGCAAAATTAATAGGTTTTACAGAGACTTAAAACTCCAAAAGCAGTTTTGCGTTCTTTAGCAAGGGGAAGAGTCTTCAAAGTGGTTAGTATAGAACCAGGATCTAGAAAACACCTGAGATGTAAGAAATCATCTAACCATGGCCATGCAATTAGGTGTCAGAACAGCGAAATTACATCTGAGTGGTGGGAAAATGCTCAAGGAAAATGTCAGAGAATCTTAGCAATTCCCATAGAATCCTGGAGAAGCCAGGAGACAGGAGTCAAGTAATGCCCTAGTTTCCAAAAGATGGGCTGATTTCAGATGTGTTGGCAGTTCACTGTGACCTAAGTCCTCTTTAAAAATGCAAAACAGATTACTAAGTAGGTTATTTGTGAGCACTGAACAGGCATCCCAATCTCTTGACACCACACAAGGTAATGATAAAGAAGTCATGTTCTAGGCTATTTGTTACTGAGATTCTTCAAGTAAGGATCTTAAAAAGTCAACCTGAAGCCATTGATTAAGAAAATCACTAGGGGATGGTGCTGTGGCGTAGCAGGTAAAGCGTCCACTTGCAATGCCGGCATCCCATATGGGCGCCGGTTCGAGTCCCGGCTGCTCCACTTCTGATCCAACTCTCTGATGTGGCCTGGAAAAACAGTGGAAGATGGCCCAGGTTCTTGGGCTTCTGCACCCGGATGGGAGACCTGGAGGAGGCTTCTGGCTCCTGGGCTTCGGTTTGGTGTGCTTCTGGCCATTGCGGCCAGTTGGGGAGTGAACCAGCGGATAGAGGACCCCCCGCTCTGTAACTCTGGCTTTCAAATAAATAAATCAATCTTAAAAAAGAAAAGAAAAGAAAATCACCAGCAGTCAAACTGATATGGTGGAGTAGTGGTCTTGCTTTCAGTCATGTGGAACAGTGAAAATGTCCCTGGGATCCTTAAGGAAACCTCATTCTATGAGTAGAGGGCAAAGACTGTTAAATATAGAACGTTGTTCAGCAGGGCAAGCCTCCATTGAATGCCCACATGTACTGGCCACGGCTGTGAGGCACTCTGGGCATCAAAGATGAAGTAGACCTTACCTTGAATCCAAAGATACCACAATCTGAGAGTCCCGCAGTAGACACCACAGAACACTGCATGGCCATCTCCAGGTGGCCACAGAGACGCTACTGAAAGGGAGACTGTGACTCCTACCTCTGAGTTCCTAGTCAAGCCTGGACTATGAGGGCACATTTGAAAGGACTATTAAGGAGAGAAGAGGGGCTTTATCTGCCCTAAGACTTAAAGGGTAGGTAGGATTTAGGAAGAAAAGAGCATTTGATTTGAGGGTAGCTGATATTGGCAAAGACTGTATATGGCGAGAGTGGGAGAGTGAAGGTCCCAGTTCACCCATTCCTTCATTCTGCCACTTACTAATGACAGGATACTATTCCAAGCACTGGGACCACAGTGAAGGCAGATTCAGCCCCTAGCCTTGTAATTGCACATTCTAACTGAGCATATGAACAAAACAATAAAAACACCCATGAATTATTTTAAAATAAATTAAAAATGTTTATTTGGAAGACAGAGAGAGCTTCCATTTGCTGGTTCACTCAACAAATGTCTGCAACAACCAGCACTGTAGCAGGCCAAAACCAAGAGCCAAAATATTTTTTATTTGAAAGGCAGAAACAGAGACAGATAAACATAGATCTCCCATCCACTGGTTCACTCCCCAAATGCCTTGAATAGCCAGAGCTGTGCCAGGCAGAAACCAGCAGCCAGTAACCCAATTCAGGTATCCCATGTGGGTGGCAGGTACCCAACTCCATAACCTGCTGCCTTCCAGGGTCAGGATTAGCAGAAAGCTGAACCAGAAGAGCAAGGACTTGAATCCAGGCATGCTGATATGGCATGCGGGCATTAAAAGCAGTGTCTTAACCACTATACCAGACGCCCAGTCCATTATATATATAAATATGTGTGTATGTGTGTGTGTGTGTGTGTGTTTAGAGAGAGAATCACAGGGAGTTCAGGCCTATTTTGGGAAGTTCAAGAGGGCTCCCCTAAATTAAATGAGAATGGACAGGCAGGCAAGGCCTTTGACAGGCAGTCAGGCCAAGATTCAGACTGCACAGCGATAGGAGTGGAAGTTACAGAAATTATAATGGCGAAAACTTGCTTATATTAGTGACTTACAGCTCTGCTAAATGCTGCCCATATGCATTTGATACCTACATCAAACCCACAACATTTGCTTTCTCACGGAGCAGTTGAGAACACTGGGTCTTGGGAAGGTTGAATAACACATACAAGCAACAGAGCTGGTAAACTGAGGCACTAACGTGAGGCAAGGCAGGGCAAAAATGAGAACAATTACTTTTGCTGGCTTAGAATTAAATCCCTCTCACTTGACTGTCTTCTCAGTGATGCACTTACACACACGTACTTATCCACTAAGTCTATCCATTAAGTATCTAATAGAGGGCACTACTCGGATCTCAGACAAGATGTTCTAATTCCCAGGACAGATGGACATTCGGTTAAATTTATAGCCAATTAGTGTTGGGAGCCAGCAGCATTTCCTCCCATGGAAAGTTGGATTAGTTTTTCATCAAAATATTATTTAATGGCAAGTCCCCAAGTGGAATGTTCCAGAAGACCTTTAGCAATTGTGCACTGCCTGTTATTTAAACTAAAAACAATGCTGTGAAAAATTGCACTTCACCATGAGCTGCACGAAATGGAATTGGCTGGCTGAAAAGGAGACACGATGATTGAAATATTTTCCAGACTATTACATCCTTGAAGGGTTTAAATAGTGAGAAGAAAGACAGAGAAGGGGAGGAGGATGATTTAGGGTGGTTCATTTAAGAACAACAGGATTAAATTAACCTTGGGGGTGGGGAGGGGAAGGCGGTTGAGAGAAACATTATGCAAGATGCAAGAAGCTTCCCAAAGGAGAAGTATGCTGGGTTGCAGAATGTTCCAGCCCAGCAAAGCAGGCAAATGCATCTATCATTAAAGTCATTTACAAGCAAACTTGACAAATTGCTGAGAAAATATATTGTGGGCCACATTCCTCAACAGTCTTAGGAATGGACAAACTAATAGGTCCTTTCTAGCCCTAATTTGTGAAAAACTGACAATTCTTTGAGATTTGTTTTCTTGCATTTACAGAGGCTCTTTTCCGCTGCTTTAAAATGGATATCAACAAATAAGTTATCCAACTTGGTGTGTGGGTGTTCTGTCAATTATAGCTCTAATAAAAATTTCCACCCAGGGGAGGAGATGGATTGCATTACAATTTTTAAATATCTATTAACTGAACTATCATATTAATAAGGCTGACTTCTTAATCCTAGTTTACTTATAATTTTCAGCCAGAGTGCAGAAATGCTAAATTACACAAGGCAGCCAAAAGATTAAAGAAAATTTCCAGAATTGAAACCCAGCAGACCTCAACACTTGCTGACTTCTCAGCATATTGAGAAAAATAAAAAGTGTGCCTGTGTGGTAAGGGGTGGTGTGACAGTCCCAGCTTTGCCTGGACTGGAAATCGCCTCTAATAGGCTTTAGCCATCCTGAGATCTTGGCTATTTCATAGCCAAAGGAGCTCCGGTTCACATGACCAGAATTAATGTCTGTGCATTGCTGCCCCCTGCTGGGCATTTGGAACCCATTTTTGTCTGGGATCCAAGAAAATGCCATTTGCAAATTTCAATTACTTTCAATGTCCTTTCCTCCCACCCCCTACTCCCAAAATAGCACCCAGTATGCCTGGCCCCCAAAGACTGCAGAGACAACTTCATCTGAGCTAACGGGAAAACATTTCTTATGATGCAATTAGCAGGCTTCCTCATAGAGATGCCCCAGTGTCCCTCCGTTGGGGTGGCTTGCCAAAGGCAGCAGAAAATATGAGACACATCATCTTGCCACTCCTGCTCCAGGGGCCACTTTATGAAAATACTCCCTTGGATTAACATTAATTCAAGCATGAGTGGGTCCTCTTCTCAGAGGATCCAGGGACAGCCAAAATGTCAGCCAGCCCTTCCCTCCTGCCTCCCTGCCCTTCTTCCGATATTTGTGTATGATGCCTCTTTCATGCTGATGAGGCTGCTGCATCCTGGAAACCAGCACACCCCAAAGCAGCTACACATGGAGGCTCTGCCCAAGTACCAGGACCCTGGAGCTGTCAATCAATCCCCTGCCTGGTAGCATCCATCGAGGCTGGGCGGGGTAGGACAGGTATTCAGACTCCTGAAACATGACATGACTAGGAGAGTGTGAGGGGGAAGGAAGAAAGTAATTTTCATGGAGATGGGCCACCTCCATTGGGCTCTGCACAAGCCTCAGGCACCTGCTGTTGGGCAGCTTGCAACTCAGCAGTCAGTTCTTGGGATCTCATATCCATGTCTGGTGCTAGGCTGAGATGCAAGGTCTCAGCGTCTTAACAAGACCGCTTCTAGCAACCGTGCCCATGTGTGCCTCTATCATAGTTTCTCAGTTCTTGCTTTCTCGGTTGATTGCTTCCTGTAATCCTCGCCCTTACCACAGTGAGGGTCACCCTTGTCTGGTTTGCTCTGACAGGTCTCTTGCTATAAACCAGTGGTTCTCAGAATTCAGCTGGGACTTAGATATGCCTATCCTTAGGCTCCAGCCCAGACCTGTTGGATCACAGACTCTATAGTGGAGCTGAGCGATCTGTGTTTAACAAGCCCATGGAATGATTCTTATTCATACATAAATTTGAGAACTGTTGCTATAAACTTCACCCATTTTTTGCCACACACCAACTCTCAAGCAAACATGTCTGTATGGTACATCTTGTTAACGTGATGGAAAAAAAAATTAGGAAGGATGATAAATTGTTCTTCATGATGATTATTGATGCTGACATCCCATTCATCCTCAGAGGCCTGGATTGATTGTGAAGCCTCTCAGGAAACCTTCTAATCTGCCAACCTCTGGCCAGGAAAACTCAATTACTCCCCTTTTGCTGTGTGGCTCCTCCACCCTGGGGACAAAAGTCATCATAGGGTCCCCTGTTATACAAAGCTGGTCCTGGACCAGCTGCATTGGCAACCCCCTTACCAGCTTGTTAGGAATACAGAATCCCTGGCCCTACCCAAGACTGATCTAAATCTGCATGTTAGCAAGATTGACTCTTAGATGTACTGAAGGAGAAGCATGTTACAGCACTTTCTGCCTGTCTTACACACACACACACACACACACACACACACATCATAGATTGTGAGATGGTTTTAGGACACTCTGAGCCTTATTCAATTCTGGGTCTTTTATGTCTGAAACAGAGCTAGATACACTCACTTTTAGCATTAATTCAAGTTTGGTGAGTGAATGATACATGTGAATGAAGGACTTCTTTTTAATGAAGGACATTTGAGGACTAGAATGCATACATCCGGGAATGAAACTCTAATAGTACGTTTTCAAGCACAGGATGCACAACAGGACCCAAGAGAGTCCACATTACACCACATTTCGAGCTACAAAGGCCATCTACTCAGTGTTTGCAGGGTGCCTGCCTCATTGGACTACCTGGCTGATGCCTCACCGTCTCTGAGAAGGGAGTGGAGAGCTGTCAACTGAACCAGGGGTGCTGGTGCAGAACCCAGAGTGGCACAAAGTGAGGGAGTCTCAGAACATCAGTCTCAGGAACCAGGCCCACCACATCACAGATGCAGGGCAACATGTGGGGGTGAAACAGCCACTGCCATCCCCCGACCCAGTCTCCAGGGCTCACAGCTCAGGCACCAGAACCCAGACTTTGCACCGTGCTCTGCTTTGTATTTTTTGTAGGGTAATTCTTTTTTATTTCATTAAAAATTTTTAATATAAAGAGAACAATTTAATGTATCTCATAGGTACAATTCTAAGAAGATAACCCTATTTCCCGCCCCCCTCAATCTCCCTCATTCCTTTCTTTCTTTAATTTTTTCAAAAACTTAATTTCAAAAACTATAATCACAGGCTTAATGCACCACTAACCATAATATTCAACAAGTAAATAGTAGAAAGACCACAGTTCCAGAGGAGTATAAACAGGGGCTAAAAACAACACTCAAATCACAAGATGTCCATTTCATTCCTATACATTTTTTGTATTCTATATTAACTACCACTTATCAGAGAAAATATATATTTGCCTTTTTGTTTGTTTTAAATTGTGACAGACAGACAAAGATCTTCAATCTGCTGACTCATTCCCCAAATGCCCACAGTAGCCAGATCCAAGATAAACCAAAGCCAGGAGCCAGGAACTCCATCCAGGTCTCCTACATGGAGTCAAGGACCCAACCATTTGATCCATCAGCTACTGTGTCCCAGGATGTGTATTAGCAGAAAGCTGAAGCTGGGAGCCAGAGATGGGATTTGAGCCCAGGCATTCTGATATAGAATGTGGGCATCCTAACCAGTGACTTAACTGCTAGGAAAAATGCCTGCCCTGATGCTGTGTCTTAAATTCAAGCATTGTCCCAAGACCTATCACAAATTCCCTTCTTCACTTTCTACCCCCCCATCAACCTGTATTAACAATGATATCAATGTGGCTGCTAAGGCCCAAGCTAAGATCAAATAAGTATTTAAACAAAATAGGTTTCTACTTCTCTAATGAGAAGTTCAAGCAAACAGGCGGCCTTGGGGTTCCAGTGGATGTGCTCCCTCTCGTCACCCTGGTTCACCATACTTATGTTGTCATTCCACATACTTGGTAGAAACTGGACCTTCAACCCCAAGTTCCGGTTCTACCCTGGGATGGTAGACAGAGAAGGAGGAAAGCTAGCAGCATCCTTTTACAGATGGGACCGTCACCCGCACACAACATTTCTGTTCACACCCAACTGGTTCGACCTTAGTCACTTGTTTTATGGAGCTGCAAGGGAGGCAGGGAGATGCAGGCTCTGCCTGGGTGGCCTTGTGACCAATTCACACAAAGGGGATTCTATGATTAAAGCAAGGGATGTTGATGGACAGTGTCTACCCATAGTCCAAGCTCCTGCTTTAGGGAGGCCCCTGGGAGCTTGGTGTCTCTGCAATTTTGTGACACTATAATGGAGACCAAGGACTCTGAAAGAGACAGAGAGAGTGGAACAAGGATGCAGAGGTGTGGGCACCAGACCTCTCTGTGCACAACTCACTGCTCCCTGTATTAACTCATTCAGCCAGCCCTCTATGTCCATGTGATCCACATCTGTGGATTCAGGCAACTACAGAATGAAAATGCTCAGAACAAGAAAACCAGATCTGTACTAAACACATACAGAGTTTTGTCTCACCGTTATCCCATGAACAGATAAGTATAACAACTCTTTACATCACATTTAGGCTGCATTAAATATGATGAGTGATCTAGAGATGAATTAAAGCGTGCAGGAAGGGTATGTGTAGGTTTGTAAATATTACACCATTTGCTACAAGGGACTGGAGCATCCATAGCATAGCATCCATAAGAAGGTCCTAAGCCAGTCCCTATAGACACCAAGGGACTACTGCTGTGGGCTTTGTAGACTACAGATCCACAACCCACACACGAAACCTCAGACCACACACACATGTGGATCTTCTCCATAAAAGGGCCTAATTTTCTGTCTGGGCCTCAGCTCCTGCTCTTCTTCCTCCTCAGCCCTCTGCAGGCTAAGCTGGCCCTTGACTCGCTCTCTGACCATGGAAGTTTCACTCCAGCCTCCCCACTGCCACTCACAAGGCCCAGCATTTCCACCAGCCCTGCCCGGGCCCCTCGGGTGTCCTTCTTGTACCTTGAGTGGGAAATAATGTTTCAGCTCATTCCCTGAGGGTGTCCCAGGCAGGGCCTGAGCCTTCAGGTGCACCCCATGCTTGAAAAGGGGAAGACATCCTAAACAACTGGGAGCTCTCTGTCTCTGTGTCTAATTAATTACTTAAAGCATCTCAGTGATCCTGCATAGGTCTACAGTGACAGCTTTTCCGGTAGGAGGTTCCCGGGCAGCCATCCCTCTCCTCTTCCCACACACGTGCCCCCTGCTGAAAACAGAGCCCGTCCTGTCCACTCCCTCACAGGCCTGGCCACACTGCCCGACCACTCCTGTGGAACTCCAGAGGTGGCACGGATTCCCTGCCCACCCCTGGCTTCCCCACCTCCCTTCCCATCCTCACCACGTCTCTGCCTTTCAGGACCAGGACAACAGCAGGAAGCTCTATTGATACTGCATGTTTATAAAGGGCTCCTAACATTTCCCAGCAGGAGGGCCTTTAGAAACCAGCTACTCCAGTCTTCCTGTTTTGCAAGAGGGGAAACTGAGGCTCAGAGAGGTTAACAAATTTGCCCAATGCCACATGACAGTTAGTGGTGGAGTTGGTATTGGGACCCAGACTTGCCCAGGCCCATCTGGGATGGCAAACCTGCTCTACCACCATGCCTGTCTCATGCACTTCATTCTGCCTTCACTGACTCCTTTGTCAAAGAGTAACTCTCGCTTATAGAGAGTTTCCTACGTTCCAAGTACTTTGCACAAGGTCTTTGCATATGTAGTCTCATTGACACTTCCAATCTACTTGTAATACAACTAATGTTGGTACCCCCCAAATTCATATGTTGAAATCCTACCAGGGAGGGCATTTGGCTCAGGTGTTAAGATGATGCTTGGTATGGCTGCATCCCGTATTAGAGTGTCTAACTTCAAGGTACAGCTTCACTTCTAATTCCTGCTTCGCACTCATGAGGGAGTGAGATGCAGCAGGTAAAGACTTAAGTGTTGAGTCCCTGACACCCAGGTGGGAGACCTGGATTGAGCTCCTGGCTCCCAGATTTGTCCTGGCCCAGTCTATTATCCCCCTGCATATTCAGGCTTGTTACACAGAAAGCTTGTCTCCTTAGCTGACCCCAACTCCCAGGGGAGAGGGTGCTCAGGGAAGCGGGGCATCCAAGGATGGAGAGTCAAGAGACGCCATCAAGCACAAAGACCACAGGGAAACCTGGGATCCAGCTGCCTGTGTAGTTCTCTTCCTTTCAAAGGTAGCTCACCCAGAGAAAAGAATCTGCTCCAGCCCATTTCAATGCCACACCACTCTGGAGAGTGAACACATACCAAGTGTCCCAGTCAGCAGGCAGCCAGGACACTGGCAGTCTCTGTGGTGGCTGCAAGACTGCCCTTCATAGCACACTTGTGGCTAGTGGGCAGTGGTTGAGATACAGTGACAAACCCACAAGGCCAGTGGCCAGGTAAAGTGCCCTAGCTGGGTTTCTCACCCATCCATCACTCCCACCGAGTTTCTAGAAGGTAACACTCTTGTGTCGATGGCACAAAAACACCAGCAATCCTTAGGTTCATGTGGCAGGTGGGGGCTCTATAAGGAGTAAGGAAGCCACAGTGTACAGGAGCAGGCAGAGACTCTCAGGCCCAGCAGTGCCCTTGGTGCCCCCAACCATTAACATAGACTTTGGGGACCGAGTCCCTAGTACACGGGTCTCTAGGGGACACCCAAACTGTATCAAAACCATAAGATGTTCCCAGCTCATAGAGGAGGAAACCAAAGACCAAAGGAGCTAAACAAATGATCTAAGGTCATCTAAGCACTTGGCAGCAGGGCTAGGATTAGGCTTTTTTTCTTTTTTCTGTACTTGTTCCCAAAAGCTGGCTTTCAGCAGTGGTTGACAGAATTTTCACAGGTCCAAGCTGAACTGAACAAAACAAGGACAATGCGAGTTCTGCTTTATGTTAATCACCTGAATTCACTTTCATGGGCTGTTTTTTTTTTTTTTTTCAAAGATAGTCCTGCTTATATTTTAGGGAGTTAAAATGCTCTTGTGAAGTGATAGTGGCAAGAAATGTCTTTTTCTGGGGCCAGTGCTGTGACATAACAGGTAAGGCTGCCACCTGCAGTGCAGTCATCCCATATGGGCACTGGTTTGAGTCACGGATGCTCCATTTCTGCTCTCTGCTATGGCCTGGGAAAGCAGTAGAAGATGGCCTGGGTCCTTGGGCCCCTGCACCCACCTGGGAGACCTGAAGAAGCTTCCAGACTCCTGGCTTTGGATAGGCCCAACTTTGGTCATTGCAGCCATTTGTGGAGTGAACCATCAGATGGAAGATTTCTCTTTCTCTCTCTCTCTGTAACTCTGCCTTTCAAATAAATACATAAATCTTTTTAAAATGTCTTTTTCTCTTCTTTTTTCCCTTGTTTTAGTGTGCAGAGTTGTAAAAATGAATAGGTGAAAGCCTAATTTCAGTCCCTTCTCTCCTCCCACTACCCTGGTTTTTTTCTTCAAGATTCCTGGCAGCAACACAGATTCAAGCTGCCTTCTGCAGTGACAGGCATCTGTGTCTTACATGTCTCAGAGTAACCTGTCACATGGGTGAATGGTGGCAAAGCTGCTTATGGCAGTACCTTTGGGGGGCTCCATCCTGTGTGGAGGCAGTCCTCCTTCACCCAGCATATTGGTGGCCCTAGGCAGAGGCCCAAGAAAAGCATAAACTGACATAGGAGCTACCAGACAATCCCTGGACATTGAGGAAAGCCCCTCTCAATTCAGTTTCCTGGTGTTTGCATTTCTTTCTAGTCTTAGTTGTTGCTGGAGTGAAAAGAGCAGTAGCCTGGTATCCCCAGATGGATGCCCCTGTGACAGACAGAGCAGGCTCTCCTTCCTCACCCAGCTGTCATGGACAGCAGTGGTGACCTCACCTCAAAGGAGAAGGCAGCACAATGCAGGGGCCAAGCAGGAGGGCTCCGCCTCCACTCTGCCTGGAGTCAGACCTTGCTCCCTCCCCTATTGTCCATGTAACCTTAGAATGACCACTCACTCTCTCTCTTTCATAGTTCTCTCATCCATGCAATCAAGATTAGAGTCCTTATTCCACAGGGAAGTTGTAAAGATCAACTGCATAAATACATTCAAAGCAACAGAGTGCCTGTTGTGCAGAATACATTTGGATGTTGGCTTTTCTTATTACTCAGATCTTCACAATCCCTCATTAAGTAAACATTTCTTGATGTCTGCCATGCTCTCAAAGGGGCTGAGGGAGGCAGAAAGAGATCAGATAAAGCCCCTTCTCTCCAGCAACTCTGGCAAACAAATAAATGAGCAATCTCATGATGGAGGAATAAATGTGTTTGCAGAGGCATAACTTGGTTAAGATGGGAGCCTCAAGAGGGCACAAATGAGGGACTTCCTAGAGAAGGGGTCATATGGGATGAACATGTACATCACAGTATGGAGTTGGCCACAGGGCAGAGATGGCCCCACATAGACAGGAACTCAAAGTCCCACAGTGTATGGAGGACATGGGGAAGGCTTTGAAAGTAGAGCAACAAGCCCATGGTACATTTGGGTCACACTGACACCAGCAACTTTTGACAAGGTGGGGAAAAGCCAAAACTATCCTAAAATGACCACATAATTGAATTAGCTCTTCAGTGTTCATAATTAGGAGAGTGGGGAGAGAACCCTGTGTTCCATTAAAGACAAGTACAGAGTAGGAAATCCTACCAGATGACTGAAGACACAGTACACTAAAAATGGAAATTAAGAGTTGAAGAACAAAACAACTAAATTCTGCTAATTTTCTTTAGTACTACGCAAATTGCTAATCAGTATCAGTGTCATGTTGGCTAATTTACTCAACAAGAGTGAAAGAAGGAAAAATAATCCCAGAGATGGAGATGAGGCAACCAGTCTGGTGAAATCAGTTGTGTGCAAATATAATTTCAGAGAGCATTAAGTGCCCTGAGGAAAATAAAATGGAACTCACAGGAAGTCACTGGGAAGTCACAGTGTTAAGGCCTTTTGTTCACCCAGTATCTATGCTTTCCTCTTTATTACAGAACTCGTAGTTTGCTGGGGGTGACTGCTCCTCCATACCTAGCAGTGCCCATGCCATAGTGTCCACGTGATTGAGGTGCAAAGAGAGGTTTGTAGGTGGCTGAACAGAAATAGAGTCAGTATCTTGCTCTTGGTCCTCACCTTTCCCCCTAGTTGCTGTTTGAAGGTCAAAGTCATCCTGTGATGATGAGGACTAAGTCCATGTGCCAAGACAATGGAGTACAGAACACACACTGATAACACTGAGATATACTGCACTACCTGAATGGCCCTCCCTAGGCTTCTTGTGAGGTACAGAACAAAACAACCCCCTATCTGGTTTAAGTCACTGTTCTTTGAATTTTCTTCTACTCACAACATGTAGTTCCTTGCTGATTCAGGTCCTGTCTCTGGCTCCTTCTGTCCCACCAGAGACTGGCATAAAAATAGAAAGATGTGCAGGTGAGGATGGGCTCAAAGGCCTGCAGCTAAACTTGATTCTCCTGCTTACTGCTTAAAATTCTACAGTGGCTCCCATTATCAATTTGGACATTAAATTACTGAGCCCTCAGGCATCATTTCTCCACATCACACCTACTTTCCAAATACTGCATTCTTAGTAGGGTCCTGAGACCTCATCCAACTAAAGCAAGGCAATACATTTTGCATTGCCAGGCAAGGGATGCAATTAGCCACCATGCAAAGAAAGGATCTTAAAGGAAGCATTGAGCTGAAGCTCCAGCCTTACCATCAGTCCCTTCTTACAGGAGAACAGATTCCTGGGCTGAAGCTCTTTAGGGGTAGACCCAGAAGTCTCATCTCATCTGTCAATAGAGAGAAAAGGCAATGCATAGACCCCAAGAATCTACTGCTTCCTAGGCCTGGTCTAGCCCCTCAGACACCCATTGAGCACCTGCTGCACATCATGCATGGAGCTTGGCACAAAGGCTTAAAAAATGAGTGGAGTTGGGGCAGGAGCTTGTTCTAGTGGTTACGATACACCTGCACCCTGTATCAGAGGACCTGGGTTTGAGTTTGGGCTCTGGCTCCAGATCCCAGTTTCCTGCTTATGGCAGACCCTGGGAGGCAGTGATAATGGCTCAAGAAATGGGGTCTCTACCACCCACATAGAAGACTTGGATTGATTTCCTGGTTCCCCAGCTTTGGTCCAGCCCAGGCCCAGCCATTGATTGCATTTGGGGAGTAAATTAGTGGATGGAGATCTCTGTCTCTCTGCCTCTCCAATAAAAGGAGCAAAATGAAAATGAATAAGGCAAGGTATTACTTAGAGAGTAGCTGGGTGCTCAAGTTGGTATAATGATTGATATGCAGTCAATTTGCTGAAACTGTAGTAGCAGTGAGGGACAATGACATTTAACCTGCCTGGAGTGGAGTGGGAGAGGTGTCCTGGAGGAAGTTAAGGCTGAATTAAGTGTTACAAGGAGGTGTTCTAAAATTCTTGTTGGGGAAGAAATCTGAGGAGCGGAAAAGGAGAAAGCATTTGGTTAGAAGAACAGGAGGCTGCACAGTAGGAAGAGGATGAACTCAATGACAGAGAGAAGAACTGAAGGGAAGGGAAGGGAGGGGAGGGGAGGGAGAGGAGGGGAAGAGAGGGCACACATTGGGGTCACATCATAGGTCAGTCTGAACATCACAACTGTGAAATATGTAGTCTCATCCAAAGGCAATGCAGAGCCACTGAGGTATTTTTATCTGAATGATGGAATCCCACCTGCATTTTAAACCTATCTGTCTGATGGCTATGAGGAGGATGAATTTGAGGAGGGTACCAGTAGAAACAAAAAGACTGGTCAGGAATCCAGTGACTTCCTATTAACTCTGAGATGACAGGGAGTGGACACATCCATGATGAGACTGTGCCAAGCTGAAGCCTGTCAGAGTGGCATTATGCACTGAATGATGGAATCCCACCTGCATTTTAAACCTATCTGTCTGATGGCTATGAGGAGGATGAATTTGAGGAGGGTACCAGTAGAAACAAAAAGACTGGTCAGGAATCCAGTGACTTCCTATTAACTCTGAGATGACAGGGAGTGGACACATCCATGATGAGACTGTGCCAAGCTGAAGCCTGTCAGAGTGGCATTATGCACTGGCCAACAGCCTAATTTGTCCAGAAGGCATCTATCACATCAGCCACTCCCATGGCTTCTTCTCCTTAGGATCACATTTCATTAGTGTAGGAGGGTCTCCAAGTAATGAAATCGCCTGAGCTCCAGGCTCAAGCTACATGTCTCCTAGTTTGCAGTAATCAAGTTCAATGACAAAAGGAACCCTCGCATCCTGCTTCAGAATTCGTATTAAACTTTTATAATATTCAACAATTAAAATATGCTTCTAGATTTAAGTCTGCACTTTTTTTTTCAGGAACACTGCCAGTGAGATAAAATACTCAGTGGCTCCTTATTCCCCAAATGTATATTTGCAATGTGCTTCACACTCTGGTTAATGGCAAAGCAACAGCACTAGTTGAATGTCAGGTTTCAAAAATGCATATGCATTTTTGTGGCAACAAATGATAATAATAACAACCTTCTCTGTTCTGAGGCCACAATTGGTGAAGTCAAGCTCTGATAATGAGGAAACAGGATATTTATGAGGATCTCTTCTGCCTTTATTAGTGTGGAAGTGGGAATGGTGACAGGAGCTGTAAGCCAGTTCACAGAGATTATGAATATGCCAATGACTTGGATGACTAACCATACATTGGAAATGCAGTATCTTCTCCTGCCGGTGGTCTTTGTGTGCTCTTAATGGCCACTGTTTATCCAAGTCCAAGTCCATCTACCTTCAACCTGCAAACCCCAAATAGAGAAGTGAGGCTTGTTATAACTGCAGAAACAGTCCAGACCTGCTCTGTTCTGTATGGCAGTTAGTATTCATTTGAAATGAGGATGGACTAAATGAGATGTGTTCTATACATGCAAAATGCATGCTAGATCTTGAAGACTAAGCACAAAAATGCATATAAATATTTTCATATTGTGTATACATTGAAAGAATGGCAGTTAGGATATAATGAGTTTAACAAAATATATTGAAGCTAACATCTTCTTCTATTTCCTTTTCACTTTTTAAAATGTGGTTACTAGAAATTTGTTACTTATGTGATTTGCATTGTATTTACATCAGCAGTCTAGACTATAGGTGTTCACTCAAAGACAACCATCAAGGATTGTTTAGCAGAGGAAGCCCATCTCTGTGCACCTCTTACAATTCATTAGAGTCCACAGTGGGACAGAGCTGTTGTGAGGCCCATAGTCAGGGGGTCGGGTGACACAGCCCTCGAGGTCCCTTACCACCAAACCACAGAGTGCATGGAGGTTCATCAAGTTGAAGGAAATAAAATCCACTAATAGTTTTTATAATGAGCTGATTTTGCTGTTGCTCATTAGTAGTTGTGAGCTAAATTAATTTGAGCTTGATTGTCTCCTAATTGGAGAGAGACATAAATCCAGCTGAATGTGCTATTATGACACCTGGATTCTGCACAGTCTCATACAGCTGCATCTACAACATTCTTCTCAAGAGAGGAAACCCCAGATTTTAATAATTGTAATAAACTTATGATTATTGACCAAGAACATTCTGTTAGATAGTAAAATGTGTTAGGTCATAACATATTTTCTCAGTGAAGACATTGATCAAGTCTTCACTGAGTTCATATGTTAAAGCCTGATTACTAGGACTCAGAAAATTACAGGTTTTTTTTTTGACAGGCAGAGTGGACAGTGAGAGAGAGAGACAGAGAGAAAGGTCTTCCTTTGCCGTTTTTCACCCTCCAATGGCCGCCGCGGCCAGCGCGCTGATCCGATGGCAGGAGCCAGGTACTTATCCTGGTCTCCCATGGGGTGCAGGGCCCAAGCACTTGGGCCATCCTCCACTGCACTCCCTGGCCACAGCAGAGAGCTGGCCTGGAAGAGGGGCAACCGGGACAGAATCCGGCGCCCCACCGGGACTAGAACCCGGTGTGCCAGCGCCGCAAGGTGGAGGATTAGCCTAGTGAGCCGCGGCACCTGCTACAGGTTGTTTTTAAAGTGAGGAATATAAGCTACTTATTATGGCAATCCATTTATACTCCCATGATAATTTATCATTTCCCTTAAGCATAGCAAAAAAAAAAAAAAAAACCCACTCATGAATAAAGGATTTCCATATGTTACTAACTCTATCTAAAATTTCACCCATTAATAGGTGTTCAAAAGTAACACATGTTACTGACTTTATATACAATTTCACCCATAATAGGTGTTCAGAAGATACTTGTTCAAAGAAAGAGACATACAGGAGAACAGTACATTGAAATAGGTGCTCGTGTCTGACTCTCCATCTTTATAGACGTATAGAAAGTTAAATCCTATCTGAATTTCCCCAATGCTTTCAAAAGTTAAAAACATTCACTTGAGCCAGCGCCGCGGCTCACTAGGCTAATCCTCCGCCTTGCGGCGCCAGCACACCAGGTTCTAGTCCCGGTCGGGGCGCCGGATTCTGTCCCGGTTGCCCCTCTTCCAGGCCAGCTCTCTGCTGTGGCCAGGGAGTGCAGTGGAGGTTGGCCCAAGCACTTGGGCCCTGCACCCCATGGGAGACCAGGAAAAGCACCTGGCTCCTGGCTCCTGCCATCGGATCAGCGCGGTGCGCCGGCCGCAGCGCGCCGGCCGCGGCGGCCATTGGAGGGTGAACCAACAGCAAAGGAAGACCTTTCTCTCTGTCTCTCTCTCTCACTGTCCACTCTGCCTGTCAAAAACAAAACAAAACAAAACAAAACAAAACAAAACAAAAAAAAAAAACCATTCACTTGTAAAACTGAAAGCTTTTAAGGTAGAGACTGTCCACAAATTTGGGCGTCAATAGTATAATTTGCCCAACCTGAGAAGCAAATCATTCACTGGTCTCTAAGCATTTCCTCTCTTTATAACTGGAGGGCAATGATTCAGATGAGACAGATTTGGCTAGAATGAGGAGGATCAGATTCTATTATGAAATCAATTTTGTCATGATCAAGGGAGAGCTCCAGTCACATGCAGCACTGGGCACCAGATAAAGGAAATTCAACCAGAGTGTTCCTATGACTTGAAGGACTTAAAAGACAATTTGTAGGAGAGTAATATGTTTCAAGAGCAAAATTTCAAGGGGCTAGTGAAAAGTTTTCCTCCCTGACTCCTCTTCCTCTCCTGTCTCCCACTGGCTTCCCCACAGCCCAAAGGGTAACCGTTTTTATTAAGATCTTGTATGTTTTTTCAGGGCTTCTTTTGCTTACATGATCCTTGTAAATATGCAGTTCTATTTTTCTTCTCCTTTTTTCTTTTACCCCAGGTAGACCAGTATACACACACACACACACACACACACAGAGTGCCTTTGCTTTTTACATTTAATATCTTGGAAATTTTTTCATATCAATACATAGAGAGCATATTATACAGTTGGTTAATCAACCTGGCCCCTATAGATGGATACTTGCATAAATTTTAATGTTTCTCTGTAACAGAAATTTAGAGACTTCTAAGTTAGCTCTGACAACATCCATATGAAGTCAAAGCTAATTCTTCCTTATTTCTTCCACTCCTTCTTCTTTCTTCATTTCTCCCTCCCTGTCCTCCTTCCTTTGCCTTTCACTTACTCCTTTATTCCACCTGTATTCCCTGAGTGTCCACCTGTGCTAGGTGGTGTATTGGCTGCCCCTATGAGTGTGAAGCTTCCAACACATTGGCCCATCATAGGCTGGCAGAGGAAGGAGGGTAGCTACTGCTGGAATCTGTGAGCAGGTCACCCATGACCCACCCTGGTTTTGTCTGGGTGGTTACTGCATGTGCCTTGTCTGGAGGTTGTCGGAGTGCAACCAGCTAAACAATGCAAGGGATTTCTGAATGAGCTGGCCTCGAACAAGCAAGTCCCTGCTGACATTCTACATTTCCTACCTCTGTGTGGGGCACATTTGGAACAGGAAATGTCAGTTATCTCCATCCACTGAGACACCTTCTATCATTTTCAGGTAGTTACCAGCATGCTTGGGCTCCCCTTGAGGTGTACAACCAGCCTAGGGTAGAATTCCACATCAACATCAATCCATTCTCTTCCTGACTTCTTCCTACTATCAACACCGGAGCAGCACACGTTCCTCCACACCTAGAGACCTGCTGTCCTCTGAGAAACCCTGAATTAGACAGAAAATGTGCCATCTTCCTTGGAGACAGCACTCAACTCTTGCAAAGATGCCCATCACACTACAGAAGCCTCTAGGGCATGGCTAACAGTGCTAAACACGTCATTCCCTGAAAGCCTGATTAGCACCAGGTGGGACCAGAAGTCAATCCCTGGGCCCCTGCCAGGACCTAAGTAGAAGACAAAAGCAGTAGGGGAGAAAAATAATACTGGTTCCTCACCCACTGCAAGGGCTGAGTTCCTTTGCATAGAAGATAAACATATTAAAAAGGTGTGTGTGGGCCGGCGCCGCGGCTCACTAGGCTAATCCTCCGCCTAGCGGCGCCGGCACACCGGGTTCTAGTCCCGGTTGGGGCGCCGGATTCTGTCCCGGTTGCCCCTCTTCCAGGCCAGCTCTCTGCTGTGGCCCGGGAGTGCAGTGGAGGATGGCCCAGGTGCTTGGGCCCTGCACCCCATGGGAGACCAGGAAAAGCACCTGGCTCCTGGCTCCTGCCATCGGATCAGCGCGGTGCGCCGGCCGCAGCACGCCGGCTGTGGCGGCCATTGGAGGGTGAACCAACGGCAAAGGAAGACCTTTCTCTCTGTCTCTCTCTCTCACTGTCCACTCTGCCTGTCAAAAAAAAAAAAAAAAAAAGGTGTGTGTGTGTGTGTGTGTGTGTGTGTGTGTGGGTGTGCATTCAGAAATGAAGACTCCCAAAGTCAGGGAAAACTATAGATTTTTATAGACCATCAAGCAGAAGTTGATTGGAAGATAGATTGGTATGACTAAAGGGTAAGGAACTGCTTGGGGGTGGGGGGTGTTGGTAAGGCTTGTTTATTCAAATCCTTCTCGGCCCCTCTGTGATTTTCCTTTGCTCTGGGTATAGGTAGAGCAGGACACCTGCCACATGATAGTCTTCAGGGCAAGAGGGAGGGAGAAGGTCAGAGAGTGAGTAGCCTTCCTGGGTTTGATGGGATGCTTCCAGGGAGAAGGGGCGAGAGGAATTCTAGCTTCTGTGGACCATTTCGGCAGAGAGGGGGCTAAGGGAAGTTCAGAGAGACCCTCCTGCTCCTGTGGTCTCCTCAATTTCCTCCAGATTAAAATGCTCAGTATACAAGGGTGCCATATTGGAAATAATCATGTTCAGGTCCCCAACAAAAGTCCCATGTGGAGCATGTGACTGGGGAGGACCAGTGGGACAGTGTCAACAGTCACTACTCAACCAAGATTTATTACTGAGTGTATCCTGTGTTCCAGGCAATTTTTCACTGCTGGGGATATAGCAGTGAACAAATTCCCAGCCCCTGAGGACTTACATTCTAGTTGGAGAAGTGGTCAGGCAATAAGTGAGTAAGAGATCTGCTGAACGTGAGCTGCACGTGTATCCATCATCTGTCCACAGGTGCAGTCTCTGTCAGCCATCAGAGTCAGACAGGTGAGCAGCAGCAGCTGGAGACCCTGGCAGAAATCCCCTCCCACTGGGGGCTGTCACTGGACGCTTGCCAAGGTTAAGATCAAAACAACCAGCACTGATCCTGGCCACCAGGAAGTGAATGATCTTGGTGGGGGACAGTGGTCACCACGACTAAATACTAGCTAGGGGACGCAATTTTTTTTGGGAGGCGGAATATATTTGTTGTACTTTTCACTTTGTATTTCCTTGAGAGAACTGTCTTCCATCTCAGCCAGAGGTAGCTATTTTGTCTGATCGAGTGGGTATGGCAATGATTATGCTTGATAGCACTGGAGAGTCAAGATCGTTAAAGAAAGGATTCAAAGGGGGAAAAAATGGAGTTTCTCCTTTTTTATTACGGCAATGGGTTTTTTTAAAGATTTATTTATTTATTTGATAGGCAAAGTTACAGAGAGAGAGAGAGAGACAGAATGAGAGAGAGAGAGAGAGAATCATACATCCAATGGTTCATTCCCCAAATGGCTAAACTGGTCAGGGTTGGGCCAGTCTGTAGCCAGGAGCCAGGAACTTCATCCAGATCTCCCTTATGCATGCTGTGGCCCAAGGACTTGGCCATCTTTTGTTTCTTTCCCAGGCACATTAGCAAGGAACTGAATCAGAAATCAGAAGTGGAGCAGCCGGGACTTGAAAAGGTGCCCATATAAGGTTCTGGCATTACAAGCGGCAATTTAACCTGCTGAGGCTGAGCCAAATGGAATTTTTTTAAGTTGAGATGTTAGTCTTAACTGACAAACTGCCAAGCATTGTCAAGAAACAAAAGACTGGGGTGGAGGATTGATGCAATAGAGAAGATGCCACTTGAGACATTCACATCACATAGCTGAGTGCCAGGCTTAGAGTTCCCACTCTGCTTCTGATCCAGATTTATGTTAATGAGTATACTGGAAGGCAGAGATGATGGCTGTACATGCGATGAAGTTCCAGGACCCTGCCTCAGCCTGGCTCGGCCCTGGCAGGGATAAGAGGGAGGTAGACAAACTTAACAAGATGTGGAGAGGCCATGATCATCTACCACAGGTGGGGACCTTTATTCTGGCAAGGGCCACCTGGATATTTACAATATAATTCACGGGCCATACAAAATTATCAACTTAAAACTAGTGCACCATAGATTTATTGAATTTCAAGTCCTGCCAACAGTTGCCTTGGCAGAGCCAGACCAAACGACTCTACTTTTTTTGCAAGGCTGATACGGCCCATGGAGCGGATGTCCCCCACCCTGACAAATACACAGGGAGCAAGCCTCAGGCCAAGGGTCCAATTTGGTGAGGAGCAATGATGGGAATGGGCAATGACAGGCAGTAGGAGGGATGAGCAGGGTCCTGACCCAAGAATTGCAATGTGCCTTGATAGGTGTACATGGAGAAGGAAGACTCAAGTCTTGAATGGAGATGTTAAGATCAGAAGAAACAGCCAGGGCCAGGAATTTCAGAAGAGGATTCATTGCACCTTGGAAGACCAACAGACCAGGGCTGTCTCAGTAGCCACACACAAATCTGGTCCCGCCACTTCTTAGTGGAGATCTCTAAGTGAAGCAGGGAGACCATATGAACCCTTCAGCTGCCACAGGTCATCAAGGGATTCCTAGAGGCCATCTTGGGAAGAAGGGGGAAGAGACCACAAGGGATCCACAAAAAGCTATTTAACCCAGTTCTGCTGTAGAATTAACTTTGTTCCAACTGAATATCCACACTGAAGAGAGACGCTCAAGCTGAAGACACAAAGATTTAATTGACAAGACAGGTTCCCAAGAACACCAGCAAAGAAATACAAATGTATTTTTAAAATTATTTTTGAAAGACAGAGACAGAGAAAAACAGGCAGATAGACAGACAGATATCCCATCCACTGGTTCACTACCCAAAACCCTGCAACAACCAGGGCTGTGCCAGGCCAAAGTTAGGAGTCAGAAATTCAATCTGAGTC